TATCGTTTCGTTATTGGTTATAAATTTCTTTAACTTCATTTCGTGTTCAGTTTTTTTAAACAGATCATTCTTAGTTCACCTTTGTCTAATTTACGTTACACAATTAATTTCCCAATCCATTTCCTTGAGGGCTGCATTAGTAATACAGGCATTTGTGTGTGATTCCCCAGAGGACTTTTAAATCGAAAAAAAAACAAGCCCACGACAAAATTGAAGATACAAAATAAATATCCTGAGGTGTTACTCGTAATTTGCAAGTACTCGGGGAAATCATTAATGAAATGAAAACCATTTCTTGCTTTATTTCTGTCCAACAACAATTCAAATCGTCTTTAATCGTAGTCATGGAAGTCCAACTAAATATTTGCAAAATTCTTATTCTCCTTTGAGCGACAAACAAACGAGAACAAAAGCAAACAAATCAACAAACACACAATATCTACTGTTATCTGAGCGCTTACACACAGACTTTATACTGGGGACAATTGCGACCCCCTCCCTTAACCAGCAACCGACAGCCCAGCTCAGCTCACCCCTTAACCCACAAGTAGCCCCGAGTCATTCCTAATGCGAAAACTATCGACAGTCCATCGCAATGAGTCCGAGTGAACTGTGACTGCTACTGCTACTATTTACTGGCTGGTGTTTGCTATATCTGTAAACGAATCAAATTGAAAAAGGCAAATGCGAGTGGGTTTCTGTAAGGAACACTACACTAAGAGAAAATTCTTTTCGAAATTTAAGAGGAACCCTTTCGCAATCCATTAAGACAGAAAATCCACATTCACCAAAAAAAACGTTTTAACGTAGTTTTTTTCAACTGTAATCCTTAAGTTTTTAAGGCATGCAACTTTGAAATCGGTCCAAACTTGGTATTGTTATGGGTCCTAAAAATTCAATTATGAATAGTGATCTGTAAACTATCAGAAACTTGAAAAAATTATCGTTTGATAATTTAACCACGAACTTTTTACAGTATGCAACAAAAATAACATGCTTCAAATTGGTAGTGGTAAGATTTTTTTTTAACTAGGAGAGAAACTTTTGTTGTCCTGTTGCCTGTTTCAAAAAATTTCGGTCAGTGCAGGAAGCACACCCCCTTACGAGTTGTCCCAGTGCAATCCAATACAGCTCTGAAGTGAGCAGATGACATGACAAATTTCGCTGAGCTGCAGTCAAAGTTGAAGCTGAAACCGAAATCCTAAATCGAGACCCGAAATCAGAATTGTGAGCTGGGATTCCGAAAACGGAGATAACCGTGCGGTGCTGACAATTCAATTGTCACATCCGCTTATAAAGTTGGCAACCGTGGCTGAGAAAGAACATTTCAAGGTTAACTTTGGCCAAATCATGGCGAAATCATGGTAAAAGTCCACAGGCAACAAGCCAGACAACTTCAATTTCATTTCATTTCGTCTTACTGTGCTGTCCTGGTGATTCAGATGCCGATTCCGATTCAATGGCGAAGCCGATTCGGAATCAGAATCAGAACAGAATCAGATTCAGTTACTTCTGTCATTGCTATGACTGTTTCCTGTCTGTCTTCCACTTCCTGCCCTCGATTTTAATTTGGCCGCCCTTCAATTTCACAGATTCTCGACCAGCAGCATCATCGACTGTAGATTGTGAGGGGCGATTAAGATGGGGCCACTCAAAAATTGAAAACTTCTCTCTCATATTTTTTTTTGTATAATATTTCGAGCCACAAAATCTAGTCGAGCGTCAAATCACTCAAACAACTTTTGTCGACCCCACGCTGCATTTGATTTATTTCTTTTTCGGCTGTGTGTCGTTTATTAAATATTTAAACATAATCCCATGGGGAAATTGAAAGCAAATAGCTTATGATAAGCAAACACTTTCCTGTCAGTAATCGACTGGAAATAAAACTCCCGATAAAGTCCATGGAAAATATTTATTTGTCCCTGGGCTGTTTAATGTCGAATCAATTTACATGCATATAGCAAAAAATAAATATAGTCAGCAAAGTGGCCATCAAATTACTGCTTAATAGTTATTTTATATGTAAAAGTCTAAACGTTTTTATACCGTGGCTAAACAAAATGTTTTAACGAATTTAAAGTCATAAAAATACTATTACATAACAAGAGTTGTCAAAAAAATTATTTTTCGAATATATAAAAAAAAGGAAATAAAAATATGTTGATGTTTAAATAATAACCCCCCTAATAATATATTCAGTTACGAGCCATTAACTTCAATGAAATAAAGCGAGTTCCTACATAAGAAATAATCCGATTGAGAAAAAGCTTTTTCAATGTAATATATGTACATGAATCAGAAAAAATATTTCCCATTCATATTTTTAATGCGTATTTATTGGACCCCTTAATTCTATAGAACTGAGAGTTCCGTAAATATCATTATTTTTGTTTTACGTTTCAGATTCTCAGAGCTTTTATAATTATACATTTAGCACTGAGTCGCCCTTCCTCTCTCGAGATGAAAAATAGAAAGACAAATCTAAAAGTGCTGGAGATAATAATGTTCGAATAGACTCTACAAAACGACCTGAAAACGCGGACACTTTGCCGATAGAGATAACCTTTGGGATCAGTTCTCTATCTAAGAGTGAGTGCTTATATACGGTATACGGGTATATATGTGTAGATATTCCTATTCTATGTATTTATGTAGTACATATATTTAGCTCCGTCTTTGTGTTTGCGGCATCTTAACCAATCTACACGTAATCCAATTTGCCCTCGTCGCCGACGAAGAAGCTCTCCAACAATTGTTTTTGATTATTTAATTTGCCAGACTTTTGCTTTGATTTAGTTTCGTTTCGAAGGAGAAGAAGATTCCTGTTTTCCTGCTCTGGCTTTATCCCAGGGCCTTGAGGCGAGTTCAGCCGACCACAAGATGTGTCCTTAGCCCTTTGCTTTGTCTTTGCCTATGATTTACTCCTGCCGCAGTTCGGGGACCTTGAAAATATGGCAGCGCATTGTTACCAAACGTTGTTTTTGGCCCACAGATTGCAGCGAACCGAATGCCACTGCCACAGTGGGCAACAAAAGCAGGTCGCCAAATGGCGGAGGGTCTGCGGAAACTGTCAATGGGTAATTCGAGTATATCCGCTGGGAATGTAGCCAAAACCATTTTTTCTAGGACTTCTATTTGGAAAGAACCATTACTTAAATGGCTGATATTATGTGGAATATTAAAAAAATAAATAAGATAGAATAATATTTTAATTTGAAATGGTTTTTGTAGATTTTTTAAATTGGGGAGGAAATCAAGCTAAGCTTTAAATACTTGACGCGTTTAGCCTAAAAATATTATTTTCGGCAAAACATTGCTCAGGCATTGCTTGGTCGTAAAAAAAAACACACAACAGATTTGTTTTAATTTTTCCTTTTTTTGTACAACTTTTGGGAAACAATGATAGGTGAATCGGACAATAAATTGGATACCGAATGGTCGACTCTCGAGAGTTTGGTGTTAGTTTTTCGGGCAGGACGTGCAACACGGCTGGCAACATTTCCACCTCAAATGGCTTAAGCCCCCTTTTCCTCCCCCAGCGCTCGTCACTACCCTCTTCACCCCCGTGTTACCCCTCTTTCATTCCATTTTAGCCTTTGTCTCTGTGCATTTGGCTTGACAGTCGCAGCAACCAAAAGTGCGCTATGAGCTTTTGTTTTTCGCCTTTCTCTCGATTCTAGTTTTATTTTGTTTTGCTTTTTTTTTTTTTGTTTTTTTGTTTTTTGTTTTCGTTGCGCTTTGCCGATTTGTCTTGCCCTCCTTTTTCCGATTTTCTTGGCCATTTCTGTGGCTTGCGAAGCTTTGGGGAACATTTTGTAGCAATTTTTGCAGGTTTGCATTATTAAAATACGTTTACAGCTCAGAAGAAAGCCCCCGAATACCTTTATACACAATTATCTGCCTTGTGTTTTCCTGGGCATAACTTTCAATCGCAGCTAATTGTTTGAGTCAGCAAAAAGTTTCGGCTCACTCCCACACACAGAAACTCATGTTTCTGGCCCACAAATTAAATTTCCCCGAGCAAAAAAAAAGTTGCAAATAATTTGCGTGTGGGTCGGGGGATAATCGAACATAACTTAGCCTCGTAGAAATTATTTGTTGCGAAAGTTTTGCCTCTCTACTAGGCAAACTTTGCGACTCGTTTTGCATAATAGCGATATAATTTTCGAGTATGTTTCGACTTTGACAAGAAGGCATTTAATTGATTTTGATCGATAGTGGAAAGTCTAATTGAGTTTTCTTAGTTTTTAGATATTTGGGATAGTTGTATTGACTTTGATAGATTGAATAATAGTTAAATCGGTTATTGAGTTCCGTAATTTACTTAAACTTTACCATTTTACAAAACATGAAACTAAAACGAAATTGCAGCTGATTGAAGAATAAAAACTTTAGAATGCAGTTGTAGATCTACAATTTTTTAATTCACTTATGCAATATTTTTTCGAGGGTTAAATAATATATAAGAACAGTAAACTCTTTGTTATCCAATAAAACTTTAAACCTCAAATTGATTAAACCAGAATCAACCCAAATACAAGCAATTGTTCTTTACAAAAAAATAAAATAAATAAAAAGTGCAACAATGAACATCAACCCTCGTTTTTGCTGCTGAGTTTTCAACCACGTAATAAATAGTAAATAAAGCAACACAAATACAACTTATTTCTTCTTATTTAGAACAGTTTTTTTTAAGAGGGTTATAAAGTGTTGCACACACTTTTGACTGGTAAAAATGAAGGAAGATTTATATGCTGCCCAATCAAATAAACACCTTATCCAAACCGATTTGGAAAAACGTATCCCTAGACGCACTTCAATCAGTTTTCCTTAAGTTTTCCTGATTGAATTGTCGGCAGCCACAAGACGACTTAGCCGACTTTCCCGCTGAAATGCAGCAAAACAAAAGTCGCAATAAATTAATAAGCCTGCCGCACACGCGGGGGGCAGTCGGGCCCCGGAACCCCTCTTATGACTAAATAGTAACACATACTGACCTGACCTACTCTCCGGTTACGGGTAGAAGTACGGGCAAGAGTCCGGGATCGAGTACGAGTACGAGTTCGAGAACGAGAACGGGAACGGGAGCGTTGCACAGCGGTGGCAGTGGCGAAAAAAAATAACAAAGAACAAAACACAAAAAACATATGTAGAAAAAATATAGAAAATTTTGTTATAGAAAAAATTGTACTCTATGTGGCATAGGCTTATAAGTACGAGTGCTTGAGTGTACACCTAGCAAAATTATGGCTATTGCAAGCAGATCATTTCGTCCATATTTGGATGTCTATTAAACATTTTTTCCCCATCAGTACAAGGAAGTAATTTAAAGACTATTTAATCAGGGAAATGATAAGGAATGCGATGTAAAGCACAAAGCATAATCGATCGAAACTAACTTGAATATGGTAAAAATTGATCTGCAAGCAATATCGAAATGTCTTTAATTTTTCTGCTGTGTAAAGTGGAGATTGGGGAGTCTTTGGATTCCTCGCTGTTTGAAGCCCCTTTGCAGCCCCCTGACCCCCGGCGAGAGTCCTTCATGCTGGGGCCCCCGGAACACGCGATGTTGCTGAAGGGGAATATATATATTTATATATAGGAATAGGGGTATATATATTTATATTCCGGGGGTGATGCAAAGGAGGCTCTAACGACGGTGGGCATGGCTGACTTTATTCTGACGGACTGTTGCGTGTTTTGGAGCCAACAACTGCGACGTACTCGTTGCCATTGTTGTTGTTTTTGCTGTTGTTGTTACTTTGTTGCTGTTGTTGTTGCGGCTTCTATATACTTTCTATTGTATTATATTTTATATGCTTTGACAAAGCCCCAAGCCACTTAGACAAACTGCTTCAACTTTCTGCCCGGCTCTTGTTGCTGTTTATTATTGTTATTTAATGTTTATAGTTCGCCGAACAAGACGCGATATGTGGGTGGTTTCAGGGGGAATCCCCTTCACTTTCGGAGGCGTAAGAAAAGGCATTATTAGCCATGTATATTAGATGACGTTACACGACTCGACCTATACAAAAACTGAGAACCTCAAAGGAAATTGTTCTAAAATGTGGAACACTCAACACTGATCATTGCAATTACGTCCCCATTTTAAACTGGGCATATTAAAGACTTAAATAGTTGGTACACAAAAAAAAAAATAAGGCCGGCAGAAGGCGAAAATAGGCTCTATAAATATTGAAGTCTCCGTTTCTCTGTCTTTTTTTTTTTTAAAGAGATTTTAAATTTTAAGATGCTGTTTAAATTTAACTGTTAAAAAATCGATCGTAAAATTGATAGACAAATGATTATTAATCAGCCGTGAGTTAAACAAAAACGGTATTGGCTTGTTAAAGAACAGACAGAACTGTTGTCAGTAGATTTACAAAAATTAATATATTTTTCATATCACATTTAAATTTTAATAAAAAAAAAAAAAAAAAAATTCGACAACCTTTTTTAACCATACAAACTCAAGCACTTTTTAGAAAGTTGAATATCGTTCACTATAATTTATAAATTAGGCAGAAAAAACAAATCAAATTTACATTTATGTTTGAAACGTTTCCGGAATTTATTTATGCACTTAGCACATTTTTTTTTTAGATTGAAATCAATCAATCATATCAACTGCAAAAACAACATTCGAATTTATAATTAGCCAGAGAGAAAAAGAAATAAGAGAAGGCGAAAAAGCGGAGATGACGATCACGATCACGATCAATAAGGTCTCTCACACACTCAAAAAAAAGATATATGCAAAAAAGGTTTTAATTGAGCACAACAACAAAGACAACAACGGCAGCGACTCAGGCTGAATTCACTTTGTTTTTAGCACTTTTTCGCTGGAAAGATGATTTAATGGCACACAAACGTAAAAAAAAAAAAAACAACACAATTAAAAAATTGTTTAAGTTGTGAGAAAAAATCCCAAATCATTAGCACTTTAATTGTGTTTAAGGTTTATTCGTTATTCCTTATTTTAGTTTATTGTGGGTTTATATTGTTTGTGTTTTTTTCTTGTCGAAACGCGTTTTGTGAAATCACCGGTTTACGTACGTTTGAAATTTGCGTCAAATCGCTGAGAGTTGTGTTAGCTGATGAGAACTAGAGAGTAGGACCGTCGGGAGCCCAACTGACACCTTCAGTGCTTCGTTTTGCACTGAGCGCCAACGTAGCGCCGTTGAAGCGCCAAAAACCGGTTCGTTTCCACAAGCAATGGTTCATGGGGACTCGGGCATCTTCGGCAATTGGCCTTCGTGCCCGCATCATCGCTCTCTTTCCCTCGCTCCCCTTTTTGCTCAACACTGCCCCTCTCTCGATTTCAATGCCAAGCCAAAGCAGCTGTTTCCAGCGTGGATTTTGTTGTTTTGATTTTTTGTCGCGCTCGCACGTGCGCGAATGTATGCGTGTTTGTTTTGTAAGCGGCGAGTGCAACGCTTATAAATACCGAGCACTTTTAATTTGCAGAGCTGTTGTATAGATCACCAAGAAATTAAATGAATTAAATGATTTACAAATTAAAAATTATATCGAAATTATATTACTTGGTTATGTAATTAAAAGCTAAGTTGTAAATCGCCAAGAAAACGGCTTAGTTTTCTGGCCCCTAAAAGTATACTTCAAATTGTAGGCTTAAGCTTAAACTCTCAACACACTTTCATATTTCGTAGCTTAAACAATCTAAGCCAAAAGCTCAATAGTTTTTGCTTAAATAATTGTATTTATCGAATGCGAAAAAATTTAAATTATTTTTAAGAATTCGTCAGACTCTTCGTACCCTGCACTGTGCAACTAACGGCACTTACTCACGATAAAGGAAGACGAAGAGCTGCTGGCAAAGGAAAAATAGCAGCGATGCCAGTTAAAGGAAGTTAGCAGCGCAATGATTTTAATTGGGAATCGTTTATGGGACAAAGATTTTTCTAATCCAAATGAGTTATACGGTCATTAGTAAAGCTATTAGTGTTCTCATTCTCCCGCAATGCCTTCAATCTTTCTCGTTTCACTTTGTGCAATATGCTTTGGTTTTAATACCCTTTACAAATCTTTATGATGTATGCCCAGCATGATTTAAACAAATTCGTACTTCACTACTTTTTGTAAAAAAAAATATGTAATTTTTTATGTATATTTTTTTTATCTATAAATAAATTAAGCTATACATTTTTCTGGCAAGGGACTTTATTTATATTCAAGAATAAAAGTAACAGCTTTGAAAAATGTTTTCGTAGGGTACTGTACGTTTCGATCCTCCTTGTACTTTTTATTGCTTTTCTTATTGCTGTCATTATGATTGTTGTTGTTATTGTCATAAACAACGCACAACGAATTTTTCAAGTTCAACATGTCGCCGCTTATTTTAATTTTAATCACACAACACAAAACATGAGCCATACATAGTTGTTGCTGCTGTTGTTGTGGCTTTTTGTGTTATATTTTAATGTTATGCGGCCTTTGTTTGTCTGTTTATGCACACAAAACATTCATAAACTACCCTAGGCCGGACTTAGATTGTTACTTAAATTTAAGTTAAGACAAGAAATTTAATAGGACACAAGTTCGAAGTGAACTAAATACTACTACTAATGAATGCATTACTTAAAGCTTTTCAAGTTAGCAAACGCTTTGTGTTTCTTAATGTAGTAAGTGTAAAAATAAATTTTTTGTACTTTTTTTGTTGAGTCCACCCCAAACTACCCATATTTTATGGAATATTTTGCTGGCTTTTCTTATTTAGACTTTTCGACCGTTATGTTCTCTATGAGATATTATGTACCACACAAACGCACACCAGCACATATCAAAAGATAACTGTAATGTTGTAATGTAGTCCATTTGCGACAAATATGCGCACCCAAAAAATGCTCCTTGGACAATGGCTGAAATTGTTCGCATATTCATGACCGAATTACCCACATTCGGCTGACTGGTGAGAGGGTAAAGAGAGAGAGGAGGCCCTCCAGAGGGAGCGAGAGGAAAGATAAAAAGGGGGTCGGGGAGGGGGGAGGCCAGATGACTGGACACAGCAGAACAAACAAAACCATTGGCAAGGCACGCAAATCTCGGCTATGACCAAAATATTTGCCAAAGTTCGTCGAGTCCTAAAAAAAAACAGGAAAAAATTTACACTTAACTTACCAAAATACGCATTGACGTAAGCAACCTTGAACCTCAAAACGATAAAATTGACGGTGGAACTTCTTTTTCGCATATGTAAACTAGACGTGAAAGTAACTGCAATAAAATTCACGAACCAATTTCTAACTGAACACTTTATTTAATTTCAAAATTTTTATCTTAAGGACTACTACAATTTCTGAATACCATTCATATTATTTTTCCAGTGTGCGAGATGAGTAAAAAAGCGTTGCCAAGAAATCAAAGTGAGAGAGTGCGAAGAAGAGGGGTGAAGGGCAATAAAAAGGGGGATAAAACCAGGCCGGATATATTAGCCAGGACAGGACAGGGACAGCATCATCGTTTCATTTTGCTGCCTGCGTCAATGACAACAAATTCGTTGTAAGTCCCTTTTCCAAAAAATAAAAAAAGAGGAGATTCCCCGCCATTCAAGATGGGCAACTAATATTTGCCAAGCGTAAAGTAATAAAATATTTCTTCGGTCAATAAATGCAATTGAATGTGAAGCCGAAGACACAAATGAAAATGGAACCGAGTCCGAAATACTTCACGCTTTTACAAATTTAATGAGTTCGAAATCCATCACGAACTCGACATGCTCTTGTATAGAAATGGGCAAACATGAATCAGCATTAATTCATAAATTTATTTAATTTCAAAAGAAGCGTGAAAGAAAAGCAAATGCAACCATACTCTCGTTAAATAGTGGAACTACTTCGTCTGGTCTTTATAACTGTTTTTTTCCGAGCTCGGGAACTTTTTTTTTTGGGAGGCACTCAAGTGTCATTTTATTGCCCACTCTCTCGCTTTCCCATTCATAGGAATATATGTATGTACGCTAAAGCTTTCATTGCCATTTGTTTGCTTTAGAATGCAATAAAAATGTTATGCCAAAGGATAAATAAATACGCCTCCATGTTGCCAAAAATCAACATGCGACTGACACGATATATCTATCGCCCTACACTGCTATATATAAAGGAGGGCACATAAAGCAAAGATGACCAGCAAAAGAAGAAAAAGCGCAGAAGTGAGAGCGCTCGAAAACGGATATGAAAATAGTCGATGAATGGACTTGAAAGATAGCATTTACATTAGCCAAGACAAAAAAAGAAAGGACAATTTTTGCCCACAAACAAAAATATTTGTAGGCTTGGGAAAACTTTTCACGTAGCATAGTAATTAATTTAATGTTTAACAAAATTTGTGATATCTAGCAGTCTGTAGATACATTTAATTATCGCAGTAGACAAGCATTAAAAGAATTTAGAACGATGACGGTGCGCGACTATATCCGAAAGTTTATACTGATGAACTGGAAGAACCACAAGTTGCAGCTGTCCAATCCGTGGGAACTAGTGCTCATAGTGCTTATACCACCTTTATTCACACTTGGGGCGGTTGCGCTGCGGTTCTATATTCCTGTGGAACCACGATCGGATAAGCTGTACGATCCGATCGATATGGATCGCCACTGGATGGAAATGGTGGAGAAGCTGCAGAAGGCCAGTGATGTCGCCAAGGAGCACAACGTTAAGAAGAACCCGTTTACGCCGCAATTGACCATCGGTTGGGCACCCAAACGCTACAATGTCTTTAACTCCATGATGGAAAAGGTGACGAAACAAATCGATCCGATGACCAAGGTGGGTTTCGATGATTGTGAGAAACTGCGAGATGCGATGATCGAGGACAATCTGTTCGCCGGCCTCTGTTTCGATGGACATGCCTTCAAGGAGGACCACAATTTCGAGGAAGGTGCCCTGGAGAACCCTGCCAACTTCCATCCGGTGCTTAATTACACTATCTTTCTGCCCAGCGAACTGAGGATGCTTGGCGGTAACTTCATGATGGGCAACTGGATGACTTTGTACAGGGACGATCCGAACACCTTCGTCCTGGTTCGCCTCAATCAGCCGGAAGATGGCGGATTTGTGGGCTACGTTCGTGAGGGCTTCATTCGATTGCAGAAGGCCGTCAGCGAAGCCTTCCTGATCCTTACCAGTCACAAATCCCTGCCAACTATTCAGTTAAGACGCTTTCCCGTCATCGCACGGGAACAGGATCCCCTGATGTACTATCTTGACTACGGCATGTCCTTCTTGATCGTCGTTGGCTTTCTCTTTCCCACTCAACTTTTTGTTTGGGTGAGACAAGGATTAGTTGATTCGGTTTTTAAAGGAATTTATGCTTTTTTTTTTTTTTTAGCAAGTCGTTAATGAGAAACAATCTCAAGTTCGGCAGTTTCTGATAAACATGAATATTGGCAATCTAATTCACTTCGTTTCCTGGTATTTCAAGGGTCTATTCTACATGTTGATCAGTTCATTTCTGATCTCAGTTTTGTTAAAGGTGTGAATAATTTATTTTTAATTTTAAAACAATCATAATAATCTTAATTTATAGCTTTAAAAAATGAGTACTTTCATATTACTATTTCCATTTTCCGTAGCCTCAGATTCTTTATAATTTACGGCATTCAATTTTTGTAGAAACTCTCTGGTGACCATTTATACAAATTTGCATTTCTGTATTTCTTCTATCCAAAAAAAAAATATTAAATGTCTTTATAGATTCGCTGGAACCACAACCACGGAGTGCTGACCAACACTCCCTGGTACATCGTGCTTTTAGTATTAACATGCTATAATATCGCATCGGTTGCCTTTGCCATAATGGTGGCCGCTTTTTTCCGGAATGCCCACAACGCCGTTCGGGTGATGACGATCATGTGGGTGATGTCCTATGTGCCCACCTTTGTGCTGTGGAATAACCCGGAGAACAAAATGCAACCACTGCGCTACGTGTCGTATATTTTTCCCAATGTGGTCCTCACTCTGGTACTCGAGTGCCTGATCGAAGGGGAATCGATGTTCGCCATTGAATGGTCGGATGCTGGCTATCATCTGAACTATAAAAGTGGTCCCATAACGGTAGCCTGGAGCTGTTGGATCTTCATGCTGAACGCACTGGTTTACTGTGCCATTGGAATGTACGTGGACATGTGGCGTGGCGGCGAACGATCGTCGAAAAAGATGAAGAAGCCGAGTACAAATGCCAGTGTACACGAGGATACCTACCAGGAGCGAGCGGATAGCTTTACGCATCAGGGCCAGGCCATTGGCGTTAATTCCACAAAGATCTACGAAGTGGAGCCCTCGCACAGACGCTTCAAGCTGAAGATCAAGAAGCTCTGCAAGCGTTTTGGGGCCAATGACCGGCCCGCCTTGAATCTTTTCTCGTGGAATGTGTACGAGAACGAGGTCACCGTATTGATGGGTCACAATGGCTGCGGCAAGAGTACACTGCTCAAAATTCTAGCCGGCTTAGTGGAGCCCAGTCGGGGTACCGTGATGATATCCAGCTATAATACACAAACTGAGAGAAAGGCGGCCTCCATGGAGTTGGGCATCGCCTTTGGCCAAGAAATGCTCTTTGCCAGCTTCACCGTCATGGATTATCTGCGATTTATTTGCCGTGTAAAGGGCCTACACAATTCCATCGAAATCGAGGGACAAAGCAATTATTTTCTTAACGTCTTGGGACTGGGACGTATAAAATCCAAACGCATCCACAAATTAACCGGCGGCGATTTGTGTTTGGTTAGCATTTGTTGTGCTTTCGTGGGAAACAGTCCCATTATCCTCATAGACGATATACACTCGGATCTGGATAGGGAAACACAAGCCCTGATCTGGAATCTGATCAATGAGGAGAAATCGAAGCGCACCATTATCCTGGTCTGCAATTCACCAGCGCTGGCCGAAAAGATCGCCGATCGAATGGCCATTATGTCGAATGGAGAACTCAAGTGCACCGGCACAAAACCATTTTTGAAAAATATGTACGGACATGGCTATCGATTGGTGGGGAATGTTGACATATCCTACGAATTTCAGTATGAGTTTTAAGTTGCTAAGATTGCTTTCGTTTATTCTTTTCATAGACATGCGTTAAGGGCAAACACTGCAAAATTGAGGATCTCATAAACCTGATGAACAGCTATATGCCCAACATGAGCATCGAAAGAGACATTGGGTTCAAGATAACATTCGTGCTCGAGAACAAGTATGAAGATCAGTTTCCGATGCTGCTCGACGATCTGGAAAATAATATGCAGCGTCTGGGAGTGGTAAGTTTTCGGATTCGGGACACCTCGATGGAGGAGATCTTCTTGCGATTCGGATGCGAGGAGAACGAACAGATGGGCGGTTACCAACCGCACGAGAACACCCAAGTACTTTTGGAGGAATACTACGCAACGCTGGCGGAGGCCAATGAAAGGGGTCGGCTAACCGGCTGGAAGTTGAGTTTGATACATGCCAGGTATGTGTTTCAAAATATCGCAATATATTTCTAAGTATTTCTAAATTAGAAAGAGCAAATGATATTCTTTTTTTAGTATGCGATTTATGAAATTTATGATCTTATAGCAATAGATTCATAAATAATCTCGCTGGTCCGGAGTAGTAAATGCTTAAACCTTGTTTCTAACATATTTTAGCTTCAAAAGTACTTACTTTCGAAGCTAATATTATTTCCAGTTTTAATAAAAAAAAACCCAATGCCAGGGCAATGTTCTATAAACGATGGATCGTGGGCCTTCGACATTGGCTGCTTGTGCTTTTTGAGCTAATGGCCATTGTCTTTCTGTCGCTGTGCACTTTTTCCTCCGTTGTCGTCTATGGCAAGAACTACGATTTGGTGCCGCTGACCTTTAACCTCAGTCAACTGAACACTGTCGACGCCTTCGTGGAGCTGTTCTCCGAGGAGGACGAGGTCAAGGACATGCATGCCTACTACGCGGAACTACTTTATTGGTACGACGCCCATGTTGCTATCCTGGCGAAAAGCCGGCAGAAGAAATACGCCCTGTTGAACCCCAACGACTTCTCATACCACGTGAACTATCGGTACATTTTTGGAGCCACCTTCGATCAACAGAAGGTCGTCGCCTGGTTCAACAACATACCACTGCACACGGCACCTTACGCCCTAAATGTCGTCCACAACGCAGTGGCCAGGTAGGTTCCTTTTTCATTTACTAGATTTATTACGTATACGCCTCGATAACTCCTTATTTTTCAATAAGTATTTTCTCTTTGTATAACATTTTATTTCTGTTTGAGATATAGAAATCCAGCACTTCCGAGACCATAACTTTTTTTTATACCTTCGATTTTGATGTTTACTTCTCTAACAAACTGCTTCATTCGTTAATTTTTTATTTTTCGGGTCGATTTTACGCCATTTTTATAAACTACCTCTTTTTTTGAATGGCAAAAAGTACCACAACTTTTTTAACTGACCTCCGTTTTCTGAAGTGGCATATCTCAGAAAGTTTTTGTTAATTTTTCTTGAAAAACTGCAATAGTTAATTTGTAGATTTCGGGTGGATTTTTTTCATTTTCAAATATTTGAAATATGCTTTTGCTTAGAAATTACGAGACACCTGCAGTTTTGCAACATAAAAACTGTGTTCTATTTACGCTTTTTGAAGGCACCTGTTCGACGAGGAGGCCACCATCGACGTGACCCTGCACCCCCTGCCGTTCCAGACGAGCATCAACACCTTCCCGTCGAGCAATATCAAATTTGGGGCCTTGTTCGCCTGCAGCACTTGCTTTGTGTTCACATTCATTTGGCCAGCATTTGCGATTTTCATGATTAGCGAACGCGGAAGTATAATGAAAAAGCAACAGTTTTTGGCCGGAGCTAGATTTTGCAGCTACTGGATGTTCACAGCACTATATGATATCTTCTTTCTGCTCATCTACTGCCTGTCCTTGTTGATATTGGTGGCCATTTACGTGGATCCCAGCCACGACCTAATGTTTTACGGTATTTTTTTTATTTTTTTCATCTTTAAAAGGGATTTCCCTGAAATAATTGTATACCCTAAGTTTTTCTGTCAATCACTATAATAATGGCTGGACTTTGGGTAATCCTGCTCGCGTATTTGATATCGGCCATCTGCCGAAATCCGTGCTATGGACTCATGTGGCTGTGCGGAATAAACAGCGTTGGCCTAATCGTATTCGTACAGCTGCATAGAAATGAGTTGGACAAGTTGAAACTTTCGCCGAGCTTCCTGGCCATGTATTCAGCGGCCGCGGTTATATTCAAAATTTTCGTTTTTTATGAGTACAATCTGTTTTGCAAGGATCCCCATGTCAATTTCACCTCCATCGAAGTCTTCAAGTGCAAGAGCACCCCGAACTGTTGCAGTTGAGTGCAGCAATCCGAAATATATTTGATCACTTTTTAATATAATATTAACTGGAATAATCCGCAGAGAGCATGGACAACCTTGCTTCCGCTGCGGACATTAAAGAGCATCTCATAGTTCTTGCTCTACTTATCCTTATTATCAGTATTATATTATTCTTCACGGAGTATAATTCGGTTGTTGGATTCGGAGTGTGTCGTGCGAGATCGAAATCCGCTGTGCCGGCGGAGAGGGATCAGGAAGGTGGTATGGCACACAGCCAATTTTCGACCTCCTCAACCATCCCCGAAAGACATCAGACCAATAATTTCTCGGAGGAGGAGCGCAGTCGTTGCGCAGCCGTGGGATTGGATATAACCACCAAGTTTGGCCGTAGACAAGTGCTTCGAAACCTGGACTTCTCAGTAGCTAAGTATGCATTTAAACAATTATTATCTGTAATAAACATGAGAAATAAGAAAACCACATTTATTACAGATTTAAATATCACTCACAAAGCTTGACTTTAAAAATAATAACACTATATAAATTTAACCGTGACTGGAACTACATACTTTTACTCATTTACACTTGACGAAAAATCTTATAAAAACAAATCAAACACAAGATACTTTTCCCACAACCTAACAAAGCTAAAATGAGGTGTTTTATTTACCTAGATCGGAGTGTGTGAGTATCACCGGCGCGAACAACTCCGGCAAGACGACCCTGCTGAAGCTGATTGTGGGCGAGGCGAGGCCAAAGAAGGGTCAGATCTGGATAATGGGCACCTCGATGCAGCGCCACCGGATGCGGTGCTACCGAATGGTGGGCTACTGCCCGCAGAGGGACCGCCCACCGGCGGAGTTCACGCCCCGGGATCTGCTCTACATCCACGCTCTGCTGCAGGGCCACCGCCACCGGATAGCCAGGGAGCTGTCCGAGTCGCTGCTCCGGATGATGGGCCTCACGCCCTGCTGGAATCGATCGGCGCACATGTGCACCACGGGCCAACTCCGGCGATTGTCCTTTGCCCACGCCGTGCTCAGCTCACCGGATCTCGTCTGCGTGGATGGAGTGCCAGCCGGTTTGGATCCCATCGGCAAGCAGACCATCCTGATGATGACCTCCAGCATGCTGTCCATGGGCTCCAGCTTCATGTACACCACACTCACCAGTCTCGATTCGGAGAGGCTGTGCATGCGCACGCCGCTCCTTTTGGATGGCCAGCTCTATACGATCGCAGCCCTGAATGGCAAAACCGAGAACTACAAGGGTGGCTATCAGCTGAAGGTGCGGTTCAAGCGCAAGGTCAATCCCAATGTCAGCATGTCACGGACCACATGGAACCTCATCAACCACTTTCCCATGTCGCCGAACAAGAAGTTCAGCGCATTCATGGAGCTCAAGTTTCCGCAGGCGACGCTTAAGTGAGTTAATTATTGCGTGAATAAGAACACTTATTGGAATCAATTTCCTTTATTTTTTTCTTTTAGGATCGACAACGAAGAGTCGATGGTTTTCCAATTGCCGCTGGAAACGACAACCTTTTCGGAAATATTCCTTACTCTCCGCAAAGATGCCTTCGAAATGAACATCGAGGACTATTTCATCACGCGCAACGTTCGCATTGAACTCCAAACCTTACTCATCAATGAGTACTAGAAGTGTTTTGTTAAAATCAATTAACAAGTTACGTTGCACATTAGATGCTATTTATATAAATTGAGCTTTATTTGAGGGCTCAATTAAAAATACTAAAGCAGGTTTACATTTAGATAAAATTTAATTCAATCGTATAGTATACATTTAACATAATTTGTAAATTCTCATATGTATCCGTAGAGTTTGTGCCACAGTTAAATTGACTTATTTACACGCTTTGGTTAGCCGCTCTAAGTACATCGAAATAAATACACATAGTTCTATATGTAAGACGTTTCCTTTGGGCGCTGGGAATATTTTTCAATACTTTTGGGGCGAAAATAAAATTATTAAACGAAACTAAAAGATCACGGTAACTTATCGTGCATTTCAAGCAGATATAACTATACATATACATATATATATATATAGCAAACATACAATGTGTAGAACTCTCTTCGTTATAGTGTACATTTCGCTAGATGATCACAATGAAAAAGGCATAATCGCTGCTATCTATTGTCAGGTCGAGCTTAGAAACTATTTGTTAGCTGTTCAGGCATCGTCGTTGCTTTGCTATACAACGTTTTTTAATCTGTGAGTGTGTAAGATCAGGTCAGGATCGGATCGGATCGGATCGATCGGATTGGATTGATTCGGATCCGTTCAGGTAGTGGTTTCAATACTCATTAGCTAGCAGGCACTTGCACAGTTTCCTCAGTTCGGAAAGGCGGCTGGATATCAATGGGGAAACGTTTCAAAAAGGGAGTAGATAAAAACATAACACACGGTTAAAATTAGCTCGGGACTCAAAGTTTCGGGTTAGCTACCAAGGGATACACGCATGTGGCTGGGTTAGTTGATATCTAACGCATTACTAAAGATGTTAGCTACTAAAACTACAAACAAAAAATCGTTAAACAAAATTCATAATAAAATGGCAGATGGACTACTCCGCAATGTGTCGTGTATGAGAAACTGGATGTTGTTTTTTGGCGAAGCTGCAGTGCTCGTGTTGTGTTGTTTTGGTGCTGGCAATGCGGCGATGTGCGATGCGACAGGTAGATAGATGAGGCCGGGAAGCGAGAAGCCCGTTAAAAGCCAGGTGGTGTTAGCAACTGGGTGTTGGGTCTTTTGTTCGGGGGCTAGCTCACTGATTGGCGCGCGTATCCTCGCGCTGGTACTTGGCGAACTCCAGGAAGATCTCCTCCAGCGTCGTCTGGCTGACCGAGTAGTCCTCCACATTCAGCTGGTCACGATTGCTCTCCATCAGTCCAAATATGCGCGACCATTTCACCCCAGTCAATGGAATGTAGAACGTCAAAATGCCCTGGTACTCCTCCCTAAAAGTATTTATAAAATTAATCAAATTACATAAATTACATAAATCAAACAACTATCCCCCATCCCAAAACTCACTGGAGAATGGAGTGTGGATATTCGTGCTCCACAAACGCCTTGACGGCATCGATGTCCTGCTGGGCCATTTGGGCCGGCACCGTCTGCTCGTCTGGATTCCGCGCATAACCGCCGCTCAATCGCGCCTGCCGCAACGCCTCCAGATTGCGACGCACCTTGATCTTGAGGATCAGGCCCTTGGAGAACTTGTTCTTCAGGTGCTGCGTGGAGCCAATGCACTTGAACTCCCCGTTCACCATGATGGCCAATCGCGTGCACAGCGCCTCGCACTCCTCCATGCTGTGCGATGTTAGCACGATGGATTTACCCGAGTCCCGGATGCGACAGACCATATTCCACAGTTGGCGCCTGGCCGCCGGATCCATGCCGGTGGTGGGTTCGTCTAGGTAAATCACGGACGGACTTCCGATCACAGCAATGGCCGTGCTAAGCTTTCGCTTATTACCGCCACTATATGCGTGCGTCTGCTTATCGATGTGCTTCATGAAGCCAAAGGATTTGGCCAGGTCCTCGGACAACTGACGGATGCGCGACTCCTGCACACCTCGTAGCATGCAGAAAATGCGCAGCACCTCGCGACCCGTCAGATCGTCCAGCAAGGCATCGAACTGCGGACAGTAGCCGATCATCTTGTAAATGCTGTTCATGTTCGATTCGAGGCTCAGACCTTGAACGTAAGCGGCACCCGAGCTGATCCGCTCGTCGCCGGTCATCATCTTAAACGTGGTCGTTTTGCCCGCTCCGTTCACGCCCAGCAGCCCAAAGCATTCGACTCTGAAAAAGCGAGAAAATAGATGAGATATGTAATTATATTATCTGTGGCAAATTCAGTTTATTTGACTTACTCCTGTACGCAGAGCGACACCTGATTGACGGCCAGGAACTGACCGTAGTACTTGGTGACCCGATCCAGCACCAGATTCTTGGTCACCAGCTCATCGGAGGACATGTGCAGGATTCGCTGCCTTTCGTTGGCCACGTCGTCATCCAAGTGACCCTCTGGTGGTGGCGGCGGTGGTTTACTAATCAGAAAAGTTTCGTAAATAAATTAAATAAAATGTTATATGTATTTGGAGCCACAGCAACTTACGTCATCATTTGACGGATCTTGAACATCAGCTCGTTGATCAATCTAAACTCCAGCACAATGATGACGAGGAAGAAAACAATGCCGGTGACCGTCATGTAGAGGGTCTCGGGCAAAACGCCCGGCTCTTCCCAAGCAAAGAAGGGTTTTATGTCTGCAAAAAAGGGAATTCCAGTTACAATAAGAAAGTTTCTAAATAAATAATACCATATATCAGCAGATAGTTTTCAATACTCACTGCAGCACTGTGGCACCAATTCGCAGAGCAGAATGGGTGGGAGCGCTCCTGCCTTGGCGCAGGCATTCCTCGTTGCCGTATTCGTGTAGACCTTGTTCAAACCCATGGCCAGCGAAAAGTGCGGAAAGATGCGGAAGATCCAGCCCAGAATATCCGCCGTGTCCTTGGTGTCGAAGAACTCCGAGGACATCACCACAACCACAATGAACAGAGCCATCCCGCAAAAGATGTTGACAATGGAGACCCGGGCAAAACCAGTTGCCGGCTCCTTAAAGAACAGCGACATTATATAGATAAAGGGCAGCACGGCGAAGCCAAAGAGCAACAGCAGCAGGAAGTATCTGCCCAGTTCCCCAAAGCTGGACAGCCCGGGCTCCTGGAAGCAGACGATCGTGATCACAACGATCAGAGCCGTAACAATGTAGGTGGCGAAATCACAGATGAACTGCGTCAACCAGAAGGTCCACACCTTCACGCCGCCCACGAACTGCAGTAACTTGGCCCTGGACTCGCGCTCCTTGATCAGGAACAGGATGTAGATCGAGCTGACGAAGCACATGCAGAAGCACAGATTGGAGGCCAGCTGGGTGCCCAAGTTGTTGCCCGTGCTCAGCTGCGAGAGCAGAGTGCTGGTGGTGTAGGGCAATGGTGCGTTCGTCACCTGGATGGCCACCTTGTCGCCCATCAGCTGCTTGGCAATCGCATTGTGCACCATGTTGACGGTCAGCGGAGCCGTGTGCAAGGCCTGATTGTTCAGCCAGGCAATGATCCCCGATTCATTCACACTGGCAGCCACCAAATAGCGCGAGTTGATGCGCACCTGGATCGTTTTTCCCAGCTCCAAAATATAGTCCTTTAAAGTCAGATCATTGATTAGTATAAAAAGAAGACTACAGGAATAAAAGTGAACGTACAGTGAAGCTTTGGTTGCCAGTAACTTCCAGAGCGTAGTTGCTACCATACGATTGGGCCAGCTCCTCGTATTTGTTTGCTATCTCAATGCTGTTCACATCGGTCTTAACATTGGAACGATCCAAAACGGTCACAGCCAGGGGATATTGGGTCAACGACATGGTGATGGGCTTCAGCTCCATGAAAGTACCCTGCGTTTCGATGATCAGGATAGTGACGACCACGAAAAACACCGGCATTATGTTCTGGATCAGCAGCAGCAACTTGTTGCGCCACGTATAGAGGAACTTCTTGAGCAGCATGGCCTTCCATTGATTCGACAGCAGTTGGAGTCCCTGGAGCAGGCGGCGATTCTCCGAGAAGATGCCATCGGCTGCAAACAGTTAATTGAGCTTATCGGGGTCCAAGATCCAAGATCGAGTTCAAGCACTGCTTACACTGTACGGATTCGTTGTCATCCTCGCCACGGAAGCCGCTGCCGCCGTTCATAATCTCACTTTGGTCCTTCAGGTTGCCGGTGCTGTCCTTTTCGGCGCCGACCTTCATGAACACCTCCTCCATCGAGGTGATGCCCACGCCATAGCCATTCAGATGCAGTTCCTGCGACTGTTCCTCCAGCTGGCCAAACATCTCCTCGAACTTGGCAGAGGCGCTATCGGGCAGTTGGTAGGACAGCTCCGCACCAATATCGCACTCGGGCTTCAAGCCTGGTATGTATTTGTTCAACAGGGCAGTCACCTCATTCGTCTCGCAGTCGTCGCGCTTCACACAGATCTAAATTAAATACCCAAGAATTTATTTACAGCACAACTGTGTAGTTAATCCCCATCCGCAACTCACCAAACGGTAACCCGATCCATATTGTTTCTTCAGGAAGAAGGAGGTTCCGTGGCACTTGAGTTCGCCGTCGCACATGATGGCAATCCGATCGCCCAGCACATCGGCCTCGTCCATAAAGTGAGTGGTCAGCAGTAGGGTGCGTCCCACCTTCTCCTGCTGCAGGAGATCCCACAGCTGTCGCCTGGCCGACGGATCCATTCCGGAACTGGGCTCATCGCACAGCACCACCTTTGTGTCGCCGCAGAGGGCACAGCAAACAGAGAGTTTGCGCTTCATGCCGCCGGAGAGCTTCGACGAGGCCACATTCGCCTTGTCCTCCAGCTCGATCATCTTTAGGTACTTGGCCACCTCCTGTTCGACGGCCTTGCCGCGCAGTCCCTTCATTCGGCTGAAGAATCGAATGTGGTTCGACACACTCATCTCGTCGAAGAGTACATTGTGCTGCGGACAGATGCCCAGCGACATGCGGGCTCCTTCGATATTGGTGCGTATGTCGCTGCCATTTATGATCGCTGTTCCGCTCGTTGGAGGGAACATGCCCGTCAGCATCGATATGGTGGTGGTCTTGCCGGCTCCATTGTGTCCCAGCAGGACCGTAATCTCGTCCTCGAACATATTCATGGAGAGACCCTTCACCACCATCTTGTCCCCGAATCGCTTCTTGAGGTGCCGCATCTGCAGGCCGATGTGCTTGCCCTCCGGTTCCGTTTCGAAGGCCTTGGGATCCCGCTGCTCCACCTGCCCATTGGGCATGTCCTCCACGCCCATGTACTCCCTCTCGCCGCACCAAAACTCCCGGGTGAAGGGGAAGTTCCAGGGACGCGGCACGCCGAAGCTGCCCGGCAGCACTTGCTCCACATACAGGCAAATGGTCATGTAAATCACACAGGAAACGAGCATCATGATCATCACGGCACCGAGGGTCAGGGTGTCGTCCACGGAGACGGGCGTGAAGAAGTTGCTCCACTGCAGACCCTCGCCGGTGCCCTCGAAGCCCAGTATCAGCTTGATGCCAAAACCCATGGCCGTGTTCGAGATCAGACTCCAGCCCAACTTGGCCGACAAACTCAGGTCATCGTAGGTGTTTATGGTGAACGAGTACGGAATGTAGGCGATGAACCAGATCAAACCCGTGACGGCGGCCGCTGTGCTCGCTCTCGAGAAGAAGGTGGCCATCATGAAGCAGAAACAGATGCTCGCGACGATGTAGATGATCAGGAAGAAGACCAAGGCGGTAAAACTCGCGTGCGTTAGCACTGCCACATTCTCCTGCCACCGGATCTTGACCAGAATGGCAATCAGAATGGCCGATATGGTAAGCATGATGAAGGACTTGACAAACCAAGCGGTCCAGTGCAGCCAGTTGCTCAGTCCCATGATCTTCATCACCTCCTTGAGCTGCTTCTCCTTCTCGGCGGTAATGAACTGCAGGTGAATGAAATGTTGTGAGTGGAGGAGGTACACCAACACAAATAAATATAAACTTACCTTGGTGATGTACGTGCAGGGATAAATGAAGCTGAGCAGTATAATCAACGACATTATTGAGGACATGCCCTCGAGCAGGGGATCATAGATGTATTCCGGGTACGGATAGCGCTGCATCTTCACATCCGGCAGAGCAAGTTCGCCCGACTTTTGCCTGATGTACGCCATCGAAAGGCTGTGCTGCAGGGGCAGGAAGCCCTCGCGCAGGTAGCCCACCGGTATGCCACCATCTTGATCGGCCTCGTTTCGCGGACCCGTGAGATCGATCGTGGGAAAGAGCCGCATGGTCAGCCACGTATTCGCAATGGCCATTGTGGCCGTTCGCAGCTCCGATGGGAAGCGCAGGGCGAAGTGAAAGTCATCCGGCAGAGGACCGTCCTCCGGAAGAGTCGCCCAGGCATCATCGAACTGAATGCCCGCGAAGGCACTCTGACTGACCGTCTTCAGTTCCAATTCGGCAGCGTTTGCTGCTTCGCAATCGTTCCATTCCATTCCAAGATTCTGCCACGCCTCCTTCACCAGTTTGAGTAGCAGCGGATTGGCGGGCGAGTAGCACACGGTGAACTTGAAGTTCGACAAGCCACTGCTCGACCTAAACAGAGTACATCAGCTTGGTGTTAATATGGCTACAACAAAGGGTTTTCCAACACATAGAATTTATTTTAATCGTGTGGTTAATTGAGTTCGTCTTTTTGTGTTGTGTACATTAAGAAGGTGTAGGTTTATTTGTTGAATTTACATGTGTTTATTGAAAATCTTGATATTTCTAAAATTAAAAATTATATATTTTTTTTTAATTTTTGGAGCATACTTCGAGACCCCTGCTTTATTGAATATTACATTTTTGAATCTTATAAATGTAACGAGGAAACGCATTTTACTGTTCAAAATTTTTTTATTTTTTTTTTTTTTTAAGATTTAGCAATCTTGTCATTACCCACTTTAATTTCAGTACTTTTAAGGGGCGGTTAGTTGGTTGGACTTTGTATTGTGTGCTGTTGTTAGTTTTTATTTTCTATTTTGGTTTTCTTTTTACCTCCGTCGGGGTGCAATCAGCGCTATGAGTTTGCCAAGGTAGGACGTTCTATGCAACGAATGTCTTCGGGTTTTGAGGCCAGAACAAGACAAAAAACATTTACATATATTGGAAGTACAGAAAATCTATAGGAGTGATTAGGAAAAACTGGAAGTCGCAAGCAATAAAAGGAGCATGGAATAAAGCACTTGATAGATTGTGAAAAATAAAGAAATAATCATAAAAGCAGATAGTTTATATACCTATATTTATTATAATTCCACCCGAAATAAAAGTTATAGTACTAAATAAATAATAAAAGCGTATTAAAGAAAAATTAGGTAAAGCTAGAAGCATTTAGAAAATGAATTAAAAGATAGGTAAATTAAAAAGAAAAAAAAATAAATAAAATATAGCAGCAATTAATAAATCTCTTTAAAAGGGAAAGAACTGGGAATAAAAAAGCTAGGACAAGAAGCACAGGTATCGGTGTCATGGTTAAAACTCACTGCAGCAGACTGAGATCTGTTATATTCTGTGGGTCATAGGTGGTGATTCCCCTCTGCTCCGTATCGACCAAGGTGCGGACCAAAACCAGGAGCAGGGAGAATATCGCCGGCAGCACCAATTCGATGATCATCTGCCACTTGTGGTTCCATTGGAGGGTCCAATTCTTCCACAGCAGCAGCACAAACTTGTTCCAGTTTGACACCTTTGCCATCTTGTAACTTTGTTCGATTGGCTTTTGGCTTTTACTAGATTAGCTCGTCATTAAAATCGGTTAAAATTAGGATCTGCAAAAACAGAAAATGTAGTTGTATATATTACAAGAAGTTTATTATAAAAGTAGACAAAGTTTTAAGAAGTACACATTCACAATGACTAATTCTCTGGAAAAAAGTAAGTCTTTAAATATTAAAAGAGGGAATTTTTAAACAGGAAAACTTTTTATTGACTCTTGTTGACCTCGATTGGTATGTTCAGTTACCTATTGGGTATGAGTATTTATCTTTTATGGAAGCGAAATCAAAAGTTAAACCAACTCTAATTAATAATTCCCCTGGAGAGGGCGAATCCTGTGACTACTTGTTAATGAAAACATATTTTTCTGTGGAAGACATTTAACCCCGTTCATGAAAATAATCGAGGTAAATAAACAGTTGTTTCCAATGTGCAATGTTAAGTGCGTCTATCGATCCATGAGTACGTACTTCGGCACGCCCAATTATCTTATCTTCAGTTATGTTATATTGAAAAGGCATTGTAAAAACTCAATAAAAACCCAATAACCAGCGTAAATAAATCATAACTCTTGTAACACCATCGTTGCGGCTGTTTTGCGTTACAAATCATTGAAATTACCGTAGTTCGAATAGCTCTAATAAATGAATTATATGTTTATCAATTTACAAAGCCTTTAACAATTTCAAAAGCTCATAATGAGTGCAATGGAAGGCATTGCAAGGAATTACTTGGATAAACGATCCACGTTTTAAGTTAAATGCAATATAAAAACTCTTATTTAATACTCCTACTCATGTTGAAACTTTAAAAAATATAAACTAAGCTTTAAACCAATCGAAATCGATTTCATTGTGTCATAAATGTGCACACTTTACTAAACCTAAAATACTCTTTTATTGCTTAGATTTCGGATTGCATTATCAAATGCACTTAAATCGTCTGGTTTGGTAATCTTTATATGGCATGATAGTCCATGTGTCTAAATTTAAAGAGGGTTAGCCCAAAAGTTTTCTTTGTTTAGATTCCGAGGGAACACAACACTTCTCGGGAAACAATATATATATGTATAATTATCGCGAGATTCATTGGCAACTGGCAACAACTGCAACTTAAATTAAAATTGAAATGAAAACCAAGTCTGGCAACTGGTTTTGATAAACTTTTAGCGTCTGGGCGTCAATGGGGAAAACTTGCTGATCTAAGCGTGATTCGCATAAAATAAAGTTGAATGCACGCACAAGATACGATAAGCCAAAATGCTTCCGAGAAAGTTCCTCTATGAAAAAGGGAAATATGGATTTGATTAAAATATAAATATTTTTTTTTACCAAGTACCAGTTATGAGTCAGGAATATAGATTTTATATATTTTTTAGGAAGTTCGTTAATGACTCATCAAGAGCAACATTAAGATATTTGTGATTCCTGCTCAGAGCAACAGAATTAAAATGTTTCACGTATCAACAAAATACAATAATGTCACATTAAAAAAAAAGAAAAATATCTACATATTTTGATTAAATAATTATTTATTATAGATTGGCATTCGAATAAATATTTTACTAAACTTTACATTTAAATACGTTTTTAAAGGTGTGATTTCGTAGTAATATACCAATTTCTTTTCTGATGTAGACCAAAATGAATTACAACTTTTTGTGGACATTGAATTGTCCTATTGCCAATATATAATCGATTGTACAGCTTAATCGGCCATCGATGGCCGGGAAAGTCCAGGTAATTCCGGTAATGACTTTGGCATATCACCCACATATCCGGCAGCAGGGACACTAACGCACAAGCCCGGAATAGTATAATATATAACAAAGATAAGGCTGCATGAATCCAGAACGCGTCAGAGACAGCTGTCGAACACTGGCACTTACCCGAAGCTTAGCGAAACAAAAACGTGTCACAACACCATGGAACACAAAAACACAAGTAAAAAAAAAACAAGTGGGCGGGAACTTGAACTCGGAAACTCTACAAATCCGGCGGACAGTCGACCGTTTCGACGAGCGGGCTTTTTCGAACTGAATCGCACCGCTGGGCAATCTCCTTATTTATCAATAGAACGCAATCTAGCACAACTCCATGGAAGGCCAATAAAACAAATAGCATTTATTGTTTTGGCCTGGCTAAAAAATGATAAGCACTCTCTCTTTTACTCTCTTGGTACAAGTGCAGACATATGTCCCCGTTCAATTTTTAGCTTTATCGAGAGTGGTTCTAATTGAAAAGTCCATTTAATTATCCGATAAAATCAATAAATTGTTTGAACGAGCAAGGCTTCTGAGGTAGGACTTAAATGCAAACAAATATGGCTTATTTATAATAAAGTTTTTCCAAAAGACCGAAAGACCATGTTTGGGCCAATAAATAAAGTTCGCAAGCTCTAAACTATTTTTAATTGACCCTAGTCTACGGACACTGCAAGTTAAGATAAACATTTATTGTAGGTTTATATACCCTCGGTTCATTCAGAGCAGTACTCAGCCTAAGGACTTTCTAATAAAGATAATTGCTCATAAATTGTTAAGCTGTTGCTTTGCAGACTTTTAGGAGTAAATTCTTAGTCCCAATACCACATTACAACTAATTAAATAAAGCGTAAAGCCTTATAATTAATTCCGTGGGACTTCTTTTTTAGGAACTCTTTTTAATCCGAAAACCACTTGAGGTGCAACTTCGATTTAAATTGAGGTGAATCATCCAAAACGTTTGACACTTGTCATTATCTTTGGTCAACTTTCTTAACAAATGTATCATTGAGTGATTTACACCCACCACCAAGTCATTCAGGAATTTAAGTTAGTTTGCTTTAATTGCTTGTCTGTATTATGCGAATCTCAAGTGGCAGGAGTCTACCCTTGACAATCCCGATTAGGCGAAACGGATTTTTGGCAACATTCACGAGAATCGTGCTGTTCTTCGCATAGAGCTTATCGTAAAGCAATTTCAACGGTAACTATGACATCGGCGTATTATATCGCTACTTTTTAAATTTATATTGGCAGCTCCAGAGTACAAACACGTTTTATTTTCGATCGGACGGGCAAACGTCTGGGCAATAAATACTAGCAACAAATGGGGAAAGTCTAAACCTAAAATACTTTGAAAGGCTTAAAAGCAGTGAGATTAATACACACAATTAAAAAACGGAAGAGATTTATGTCCTAAACAAGAAGTACTATAAATTCTAACAAATGGAAACATTCATTTTATAAAAATTTTAAATACTTAAAGCATTATTGGAAAACGAATTTGTTAACGACTAACACATTGAAAAATCTTATCAAATGTTCAGTAGAATGCCATATAATTATAGATTAAAAAAATGCACTTCCTTCGAGCCGGATTTGAACCAGCGACCTATGGATCTCTGGTGCTACGAATTGCCATCTACAGTCCACCGCTCTACCAACTGAGCTATCGAAGGCGCTTTTCGAGCTGCGTCCCAACACATAAACAAAAGCTACCAAAAACTAAGCCGCACGAAGCCAAAAAAGTGAAAGGTAAGCTATAAGATGCATATAGCCGATAATATAAAGTAATTTTAAATTTAACAATGTCGAGGGCACAGATGATGAAACAACCTTCGATAGCTCAGTTGGTAGAGCGGTGGACTGTAGATGGCTGCATAATATTTGCAAATTACTAAGCAGGGATCCATAGGTCGCTGGTTCAAATCCGGCTCGAAGGATTCCATTTTTTGGCTAAACGTATCAGCAAAATCATAAATATCTAGCGATCTTAACAAGTTATACAAGGCGCGTGCCCCTGATAGGAATGTGATCCGAACTCTCTGATATGAACTTTATTTTCCCAGAATGTACCGAAAGTAATAACACCTCCATCTATCACGAGGACCTCAGAGCATGCTGACTAATCGCTGCAATGAATCATAGGGTGTCGTTAAAGGCGCCTGACATTCAAACATGTGACGTGTATAAAAAAGGAGCACCATACTATCGCCAAACTGATTGGACAATCTGCCCGCCAATTTAGCATTTCTATCAAGAGTAGATTGAGGTGATAATGGTGTCGTGACATCAATAAACCCACATCACGTAAATTATTCATTTCCTAAGAGTTTCAATGAAATTTTTTTGAATCTCTTTCTTTCTAAGAATTAGATAATTCCATAGTGGTTAGTCATCAAAATGAAGATAAGATAATGCTCATCTTAATGAGGAGCTTTGGGTATCTTACACATAAGTAACGTTACCTTTATTATTTGTTTTAAATTGAATTAATGTAGCTCGTATTTACATGATGTTTCATTTTATTATCAGAAATATAACTATTCAAGCTTTACAGATCGGAAATAACTGCCCATTTCCCAGTATGATTGTGAGTCATGTTTTCAATTACTTTGAACGAGTCATTGGGTCCCCTAGAAAATATGATAATGCTTAATAATTATTGCACTTACCCCTTTTCACGTTTGGCTGGCAATAATTGAAGTTGTAATTCTATTTGTCTTGTAGTTCAGCTCGTGCGATTAAGTGCGAGCCACTTAGTGATAAAAATTAGTTCGCGACTGCTTGGCAATGGGCATTACTGCATAATCGATTGGCAATCTACTTGCGGCAATTTCAATTAATTATTTATGCTTATACGTTGCCCTTTGTGCGTTTATATTTGCACAGTCACTGTGATGGGGATATAAATATATTATTCAAATGTATACGTAATGATAGTCCTAGACACTCAAGGGAATTCCAATACTTTTGTGTGCAATTAAGAAATTAAAATAAAGGATTCTAAGTATATTCGGTTCACAAATTTAATTTATTTCCAACGACAAATCTGAGATACAACTTTTACAAAATGTTACGATGATTACATATATGAAGTTCCCCCTATATGATCTTTACTGTACTTGCTGGGTTTTTTCTATGTTGAAAATAGGATATAAATTTAAACGCAGCGCTTGAAGTAACGGTCAAAGGTCAGTGCATGTGCCCTCTAAATGCAAATATGACTGCATCACTTGCAGATGCGCATGCAACACTTAACGCCCGGGAAAATTTGTGTATGCACCGTTATACAGACAATTTTGGCGCCCGCATATAACATGCAAAGGTGTGTGTTTCGGCAAAAATACTCGGAAAAACTTTTCATTGATCAAGGGCAAAAACAAAAACAACGAACCGGCAAATCTGCGACAATAACTACGATTATGACCACAGTGCGACCCTGTAATGATTATTTCGCACGAAAACCGAGATAGATAAACAATAAACATATGTATGTGTATGTATAATTCTGTTATTAGTTTTTATATCACTGCGTCATTGAGCGCCCACAAGTTCATAGATTCCTAGATTCATTGACCGAAGTGCGCACTTCTATTAATTTTTTTTTTCTATTACTATTTGCTTTGATTTGTTTCGGGCTCAAACAGCTGTTGCCCAACCACACACACGCACGGAAAAATAAAATATTTAGTCGTACTTCTAACGTCGCCGGTGATGCCAAACAAAATGAATTGAAACGACTCCGCAAGGCAATAACAACAACAAAAACGGAGAGAGAAGAGTCCGACAGTGCTGACCATTCGACTTTTAGTTTTCCCGAACAATAGCGGGAAATCTAGCTAATTTTTAAAATATTTGTTATAATCTAATAAAAGCCCAAAGTAAACTTTAAAAGATGTGTATTATACGAGAAGTGATTTCTGTTTTTTTTTTGTTCTTTCCAATTGAAATACCTTTTTTTAAACAACGAATTCTACCTTTTTTCTGGCTAAGTTGGCAGCAGTAGAAAATATAAAGAGAGCGAATTAAAACTGTTACGTCAACTGGCTGAAAGTGAGAGGGATCGGGAGAGCGCGAAATATTCTAATGCCAAAATATGAGCAGCGATTATTGTATCTATCGATTAAGTGGCGCGCTGGGCGATAGCTTTAAAAACTATTTGAATTAATTTTATGAAAAAAGCTAGCGGGAATATTTTTTAATTTAAAATTCTGTCAGTATGATATTTGCTTAGCGCCATTAAATTTGAATGCGCGGAAAACGTGGAGTACTTCCCAGGGCATGTGAACTTACCCAGGGTATATATTAATTATGCAGAGCAACACGTGCGGGACTAGATTATTTATTAAAAGCGGATAAGCCCACAATTCCAGGGTCCTTAGTCTCGACAGCCGAGGTCAGGCATTGACCTTCGAATCGATTCGCTCGACTATACAAATCGAAGTTCATGGATAAGTTTAAATGGAAACTTAAGTTCAATTTTTGCATTTGAATAATTTGTAAGGCACCGAAGACAGGAACTTAGTTCAGATTTGATATTATCATGAAATTCCCACGACAAAATATTTTAAAAACAAGTTCAAGACAATTTGTGAAGCAATGTTTACAAACATATATTGTTTGATGTATAAAATATACATGGAGAGAAATAGGGTGGCCCCAAAAAGGACTTCACTTCTTGCCCTTCTTTGGCTGGGCGGCCTTTTTGGGGGTCGTCGGCTCCACGGGCAGTGGGCCCTCCGTTTGGATGAGATGGTACTTCAACTGGGCCCGCGTCTCCTGCACCTGGGCCACCACATTGATCATGTCCGCCTGGTAAATGCAGTAGTCGCTCACATTCAAACGCACCTTGTTTTTCTCCATAGCGCCATAAAGAAACGAATAGACGATGTGGCCGACTGGCACATAAAACTTAAACCAATTGTGTAGTCGACCACTGAAAAAAAAATATGCAACCATAAATAAAAATAGTTGTTAAAGCTATTGAAATAACCACAAACTCACACTAATTCAGATCGGTTATGTAAGAAGTTGACGAACTTGGAGAGATTCTCTACATCTTTGCGCAAACTGAAGTACAGAAAACAGCGATTAATAAACCTTGAAAATAAATGTAGGTGAAAACAACCCACTTTTCCTCTGACTCGGCGAGGGTGTCTCCGTCGCGAATTAGTCGAACCTCCAAGTAGAAACCGTGGCTGTACTTGTAGCGCAAATACTGAAGGCTGCCGATAGCCAGCATCTCGCTGTCCTGGAACAGGATAATAAAGTCCGCCAAGATCTTGCACTCCAGCTCATCGTTGCTGGCGAAAATGATGGTCTTGCCGCAGTATCGTATGTATCGTAGAATGTTCCATATTTCCCGCCTGGTTGTCGCCGGCATGCCGCACGTGGGTTCATCCAAAACCAGGATCTTATTGTAGGCCACCAAGGCCAGGGCAATTTTCAGTTTGTGCCGCTTCTCCGCCGTCAGCAAACTGCACTTGCGATGCATCCAACCGGTCATGTTGAGCATTAGGCACAAGTCGTGCATCTTCTCGCCGATTTTCGCCTCCGGAACGCCTCGGATCATGCACAAAAGTCGAATGTGCTCCCTTGGAGTCAGATCGTTGAGCAGTCCGCGATGCTGCGGAGAGTAGCCCATGTAGGTGTGGATGCTCTCCAGATCGTACTTGAAGTCCAAGCCCCGCACAAAGATCTCCCCGAAGGCGAATCCCTCCTGGCCGACCAGCTGACGCATCAAATGGCTCTTGCCGGCATTTCTTGGCCCAAAGATGCCCATGCACATGTATCTGCAATCAAACAAAATATGTTTACCCTATAGAAAAATAACTACATAATTGGTTATGTATGCAAAAGCATACAACTTTTCACCGGTTTTCATATTTCGAATGGGGTTTTCCTTTAATGTTACTTACTTGTTCAATGCAAAGGAGACAGTATTGATCCTTTTTCCCGCAGCTGGAACTTTGGCCTCCACCTGATCTACCAAAAACACGGATTGTTTGGCCTTGGTGTTATCCGCCTCGGCGATTTTTTGCTTAACATCCGCCACATCCCCATCATCGAAGGGATAAGTAGCACTCCTCATTTTACGGAGACTAATGAAGAATATACAAATTAAAAGCAAATAAAAGGTACAAATTTAAGACTTGTCTTACTCTCTTGGGGAGTGGAACTTCTTCTCCCTGCGATGTAGCTCAATCCAGAAGATTAGCATCAAAAAAATTATAGCCGACAATAACATGTAAACAATGGCTGGCAAAATTCCAGGGGAAGACCATTTAAAATAGTTGCCAACTGGGGATAATTGAAAATAGATTTATGACTTTAAAAAATCAATGCTAGAAAGTTTAGTTCCTTGATTTGTGGGAAATGATATTGAGATTTGAAAACTGAATTGCTTAAAGAAATTGAAAGGGTTTTACTATGCCACCCAGGTTAAGGACTTACATCGGCAATTCGGCACCACCTCATGCATATTTTCCGGAGTGCAACCGGGGTGTGCCTGGCATTTGGCATTGCACATGGTCTGCTCCAGGCATTGGGTGTAAACATTGCTAACTCCGTCCAGCAACGAGAATCCCGGCGACATGCAGGCCCCATAGTAGAAGATCGTATTGCTGTTCGCCACGTCCCAATAAATGATGTACAAAACCAGACCGGAGACTCCCTGCAGGAGTACGGAGACGAGAAACGCACGGACAATCGATTTGTTCATAAACATGGAAACCAAATAGGTGAGCGGCAGGGCGGCCAGTCCGAATATGGACAACAGGAGCACCAGGATACAATTCTCGTAGAAGCCAAAGCCGCCGATGCCCATCAGAGCCATGATCACCACAATGATGATTGAGTAAATGAAGAAGGTAAACCAATCCCAAAATAGAGTGATGCCCCAGTAGACCTTCAGGCCCAACCCGGCCATATGTTGCAGGAATCGTACATTATAGATCTCCTCCTCAACGAGGGGAATTACGAAAACGGACACGGTTAGCGGCAGGATGCAACCGATGGCCAATGAAGCATGAATGTGGGCGATCTTGTTGTCCAGCAGATTGATCTTTCGCGAAAGCTGAGTGGGCAGCGGATGGTTCTCCACCAGGGTGACTATGCCCTCCTGATCCGGGTACGAAAGCCTGGGAAAATCATTTATAAATATTACTACATCCAATAGACTATAAATATGGAAAAATAAATTGATCGCAACTAAAAAAAGCTTCTCATTTTAATGAGAACTTAGCTTTAAGTATTACGCTCACCTAAGTAAAACATTGTGCAGCAGGTTGAGCATCATGGGGGCCGAGTGAAAGATATCCTGACTTATATATCCATTGAGATCCTGCTCCCCATCCGCCTCGACCGCACCGTAGTTCCTAAGTTCGCTCTTCTTCCGTAAATCGTTCCGATAGCTACCCTTCTCACAGGCAAAGGATGTCTTGTCGAAGGTCCTGTGGATATTGGCTTCCCTTTTGCTTGGGCCCTTAACCGCCGACCGGATGTCGATGTAGCCGCAATCCTTCAAATTCGGTATAGTTTTGGCAACGTCCCCCGCCTTAATAAATCCGATATTAATCGAGTTTTCACGCTCTTTCGGCATATCGAGCAGCACCGATAGACGGGCGATAATGGCGATTAGAACAAAGCTGGTGAAGATCATGATTATGGGCCAAACATTCGGCGCCGTATGGATCATCTTCTTGTAAAACATGGCCCTCATCCGCTGTCTGGTAAGTTGCCTGTGCGAAACCACCTGGTACTTGAAAGTTTGGGCTGTGGGTAGTTGTAAAACATTCATATGTATAATATCTTATGCGATTATTTGTTCAAGATCTCTGAATAAGGAACTCACTGACATCCGGGATCATTTGCTGCTGTAGTCGAAAGGAGGTGACCAGCTTCATATAAATATCGGAGAGTTCCGCACCCACCACTCTCATGTTTTCGATGCCCAGCTTCTTCCGATCGATTTCCAGGTGAATTAGTAGCTTTTGCAACTGCGGACGATAGAAAACAGGAATTCTGTAAGTGAGTGTATCACCGATCTCATTCTCCGGCTCGATGTTCGACATAAACTGGTTGATGAAGTCCGTGATTGGCTGATCGGGAACATGTGGTTTCTTGATAATGACCTGGGAGTAAGAAAGTATTTATTATCCCGATAATGAATTGGATTTTCTTCTCTAAATACCAGATCCACACTACTGCTGAACTTGGCTCGCAGAAAGAACGGTGTGCCACTGGCCTCCAGAATGCCCATGCTGAGGATCCCGATGCGATCGGCGGCATGCTCCGCCTCGCCAACACTGTAGGTGGCTATTATGAAAGCCCGATTCTCCTTCTCCGTATTGACAATCGACCAAAAGACCTGAGACTCTCGTCCCGTCAACTCGGTGGTCGGCTCCTCCAGGATAACGATTCGCGTATCCCCGGCCAAGCAGCAGCATAATGCCACCAGCTTCATGGTGCCCGGGCTCAGCTTCCCGACCCGAACTCTACGACTCTCGACGTGCTGATCGAGTATGGCCAGCCACTTGCGCCTCTCGATATCGTAGCGGTCCGATTCACTGGGCTCCAGTTTCAAACGGACATGATAGTCGATGGTCTGCTCCACGGTCAAGTGTTTATTGAGTCCATGCTCCTCGAAACGGTAGTCCACCATGCGACGGGCTTCGCCTATTTATACATTCAATTTATAGTATAGAAAATATGAAATTATAAGGTTATTAGTCTTACCATTGGGTTCAAACTGCTTGCCCAGAATGGATACACTGCCGCGTAGGGGAAACTTAAGGCCGGCCAAAACCCTCAAAAGCGTGAGCTTGCCAGAACCAATGTGCCCGAGGATCACGTAGACCTCGCCGCGATAGATCCTCATCGATATGTTCTTCAGGATCTTGCGCTCCGAGTCGCGGTGTGTGGTGCTAACGTGGCGCATTCGCATCAGCTCCTCACTGCCCACATCGCCAAATTCGAAATTGGAAAAACTCGGCGCCCTGCCCATATACATGATGGGTGCGTCTGATTCGCGCTGCTTCCGCGGTCGATTGTTCACCACCCGTCGACTGAGATATGTGCCCGGCATCCTCCACTGCACCGTCAATAAAACGAGGAAATAAATCAAAGCCGAACTTATGGCCGAAGTGAAGATCACAACGAAATCAATCGTCTTCACCATATCTGGGTCTTGAATGCACTTCCTAAACAGAACCATGCTGAAGTGCATTTGGCAATTGCAGAAGGACACCAGGATGAAGAACACGTAGGGCTTGTGAATATCCCAGTAGCGCTCCAGGATAATACAGAATGCTGCGTACATAAAGAGCCACAGCATCAGGGCAAAGAGCACTGCGTTGGTGGGATTGCCAAATAGTTTGGCCACCACCATTCCGGTAATGATGATCTCCACGGTGTAAACCACAACGAAGCATACAAAGGCTATCGCCCCCTTTCCGGAGAACTCCCCGAAATACCCAGAGGCCCAAACAGCCTTTAAATTACTTATGTTAAATACAACATATTCTATTTTTAATCATGAACTCACCATAATTATTAAGATGAAAACTGCACCCAGAATGCACATTCTCAGGAACAGAACCAGGAACTTAAAGACCCATTGTGTTCCGAACGAGTAGCCGTAATGCCACTGATGCACCATCACACCATCCTGCACCTGGGCAGCCACGTTCTGTAAGAGGAGACGACATCGAACAAGTTCCTTAATATTTATAAACCGTAAATATGTGTGTATAACAAATTAAGGAACTCAAACTCAAATATGTACTGACATAATAGATTATATTATGCGATTCTTTTTAACTCACTCTGATAATATTAAGAAATGGCAGTAGGTATATGAAATTGTACAGGAATGTGGGCAGCCGGGCGAGACTCATTACGGAGCAAGGTTCGTCGGCGGCCTTCAGCAGGATATTGTAGACCTCGACATTCGGTTCCGGATAGGTGGTGATGAAGTCGTTGCGCAATCGATGGTACCACTCCATGAAAATCTGGTGTTGGAGCTGAAGAAAGCCCTCGCGTATATAGATATCCTGTTGCTTATCGTGCTTGGCCCGGTCTCGTCCGGGGTTAATCCTACCCGAGCAACGGGTTATCCACAGACGATCCTCGGTGAGAAATGGAGCTATCGTTCGGAACTCGCTGGGAAAGCGAATCGAAACGGATAGCGTAAGGGGTGTGGCATCTCCGTCAGCTCCGTGGAATACCAGGCCCGCTAGCGTAGTCCTCTCGTCGAACTGATCCTCTAGCTCGGCTTCGGTAGCGTAGCCCACAGTTGAGTCAAGCTCCAGGGTTTTGGCCACATTTTTAGTCACATCCTTTACGAAGTTGCTTCTTGGCGTGTAGGCCAGCCTGTACTTGGTCTTTTCCCTCTTCGAGTCCGCCATTCGTCTGCGAAATAAATAATGAAGTTGCCTCTGACGAAAAATCACTTATCAATTACTTTTTTACGATCACATACATAACATCTTTACGTAAATATATATTAATCAACTGAGCTATATAACCTTTTTCGGTTAAATTGTAATGTTCCTATTAAGGACTTTAAGCTTACGTTAATATGCTGATATCCTGAAGCTTGTGCGATACGATGCTTTGCTCGTTTTCGTTATCGGTGCTCATGTAGAGAAGCCTCTTTGAATGAGCTATGGGATTGAGCACGATCACCAGAACCATGATTACCAGGGCGACGATCTCGAAAAGCGTACGTCGCCACAGATTTAGCTCGATCCGGACATAGCGCTTGAACAACAGTCCCTTGGTGGCCGGCATTTTCGACTTGAATGTGTATACAAAACTAAACGAAAATTGGGTATGTGTAGACCTCTCACACAGTGAAAATTAAAGATGAAAATGTAAAAACTTCGATTTTCGGCAGAGGATTTTGAATATATTTTGGTAGTTTTCTTGAACACAAAACATCACTTTGTTCTCAAAGCATATTTTGATGGAATTCGTTCACCTTTGAAATTTTGAATATCGGATATAAGCATACATCACAGTCTTGTTTTATTTCACAGCATGTGCGGATTCCCATTATTCATTAATTTAAAAATCAGATTTGAATTCGAAAATTCGCAGATGGCGGTTTATAGCGGTTATCGATAAATAAATGACAAAGTTCAACTGTTTTCAAGTTTGACAATAAAAAATACTTAAAACCTATTTGTCTTAAATTTGTTAGATTTTAAAAATCAAACCCCTGATTATACTTTCCATCATGAATAATTATTTATTGATTTAATAAATTTATTTAGAATTTAGCTATTTATATCGTCTCATATACATTCTGTCATCGATAGTCTGCAGCGCGACAACAGTTCGATAAGAACTTTGTGCCATCTCTAAAAGCAAGCCAAGAATGCCGAGTCATAAGTAAAAATAAAATTACCTCGAAAAGTAAAGGGAACAACACAGAAATATCGAGTAAAAACACATTGAAAGAGACGCAGACAAAATGACGGTGACCAATCGAGTAAGACATTTAAAGACCCAAATTGTTTTCGGCACGAAATACATTGCGAAAAACCTAATTAATGTTTTCGCAGATGGAAATCGAGTCGGCCTACCAAAAAGGCGAAGGATTCCGGTCTTACTACATCCAGAAGATCGAGGAACTCCAACTGGTTGTGGCCGAGAAGAGCCAAAACTTGAGGCGCCTCCAGGCCCAGCGAAATGAGCTCAACGCCAAAGGTAGTTATTGGGAAAATGTGACCGAAAGAAAAAGTTTCAAATTGTCCCAATGCTTTAAAAACAAAGGCTCCAGAAATATGTTTTAATTACTACTTATTGCAGTTCGCATGTTGCGCGAGGAGCTGCAGCTGCTCCAGGAACAGGGCAGCTATGTTGGCGAGGTTGTGAAGCCGATGGACAAGAAGAAAGTGCTTGTCAAAGTGCATCCCGAGGGCAAGTTTGTCGTTGATCTGGACAAGAACATTGACATCAACGATGTGACCCCCAATTGCCGTGTGGCGCTGCGCAACGAGAGCTATACTCTACACAAAATTCTGCCCAACAAGGTGGATCCGTTGGTCTCGCTGATGATGGTTGAAAAAGTGCCCGACTCCACATACGAAATGGTTGGCGGATTAGATAAGCAGATAAAGGAGATCAAAGAGGTGATTGAGTTGCCCGTCAAGCACCCCGAGCTGTTCGATGCATTGGGTATTGCCCAGCCAAAGGGCGTTCTGCTCTATGGTCCTCCGGGTACAGGAAAAACTCTGCTGGCCAGGGCCGTTGCCCATCACACCGAGTGCACCTTCATCCGTGTATCCGGCTCTGAGCTGGTCCAAAAATTCATTGGCGAGGGCTCGCGAATGGTGCGTGAACTGTTCGTGATGGCCCGCGAGCATGCGCCTTCGATTATCTTCATGGATGAAATCGATTCCATTGGCTCGTCGCGTATTGAATCGGGATCCGGTGGTGATTCCGAGGTGCAGCGTACTATGCTGGAGTTGCTCAACCAACTGGATGGATTCGAGGCCACCAAGAACATTAAGGTGATCATGGCCACCAATCGCATTGACATCCTAGATCCAGCTCTATTGCGTCCGGGTCGTATTGATCGTAAGATCGAGTTCCCGCCACCAAACGAGGAGGCGCGTCTGGACATCCTAAAGATTCACTCTCGTAAGATGAACCTCACGCGTGGCATCAACCTGCGCAAGATCGCCGAACTGATGCCGGGCGCATCGGGTGCGGAGGTTAAGGGCGTCTGCACGGAAGCCGGAATGTATGCGCTTCGCGAGCGTCGTGTCCATGTTACCCAGGAGGACTTCGAGATGGCCGTAGCCAAGGTGATGCAGAAAGACTCGGAGAAGAACATGTCTATCAAGAAGCTGTGGAAGTAGGCCCTCCTCATCCACTGCAGAAGTAAATCTTATTTCATTGTCAATAAATATATCAGTTAGGAAGATAAATGTCGAATTTGTTTAAATTTGGGTTTAACTTTAAAGAAATAACTAAAAACTGAATAGCTTAATTTAGTTCTTTTGGACGTAGTTTTGATTTAATTTTACAGCTATCTATCTCTTTCATTTTCAAATAAACGGAACTTTTTACGTTTTAATAAATTTAATTCCCTAAAATTAACATTAAAAACATTCAAAATTTTATAGTGATAATATTTCAGAATTTATTATGTCACCAGGAATACTTAACATAAAAATTAAAAAGCGGTTGTATTACCCTATAAGAGGAGCAATGGTTTCTATTCAAGAATACAGGTGATTTATCGGTGAATTACGATGGTTCACAACACTTTACAGAGTTTCAAAGCATAAAAGCACCATATAAAAAAAGACAATAACGTTCAGCGTTAGGATCCAGTGAGACGCTCTCGCTCCGCTTGGAGAGCCTGGCAGATCTGCTCATCGTCGGCCACATCGTAGCAGGTCTGTCCATCCGAATCGCACAGCTCCGGATTGGCCCGCAGCTCCAGCAGGCATCGCAGTGCCTCCATATGCCCGCAACTAGCGGCGTAGTGCAGAGGCGTTTGTTGCTCCGCATCCCGCTGATCTACACTGGCACCGCTCCTCACCAGAAACTGGATGATATCGACGGCATTGCGATCGGTGGCCCAGTGGATGAGAGCCATGCCATGCTCATCCAACTTCGCCAGATCCCCGGGCGCCAACAGTTCTCTCAGCCTATCAAGATTATTCTCCTTGACGTGGTCGAATAGAGTCTTCTCACTGTCTACACGCTGATCTTCCAGGGGAGCCGATTCAATGGAGTGCACCACCCAACCAGGTTTGCGCTGATTACGCCAGTTGGGTTGCAGTTGATCGAGCTTCTGGATATAGGCCTGCCTGGCAGCCGAAGGCGACATTTTTTCAAGATTCCGCCATGCCTGCCACTTGCTCCTGGCTTTCAGTTGCAGCAGCCCAGGACTTGGCTTCTCGCAGGGACCCTCGGTGGCTTGCTTGTAGTAGCCGTAGAAAAGAAGGAGATCCGCGGAGGCAATGTTAGCCGATTGCCTGGCCACTTGCTCTGTGGCCCGGTGAAAGAGCTCCTCCTCGGGATCCGTATCGCTGTCCGACATGTTGAAACGCTACTTAAATGGAGTTAAACTTAAAAACTAAATGACATTCGAACGTGGGGGATCTAGGATTTCTGTATGTTGAGGTAGTTTCCCTCTAGTATGTGCTTTTGTTCGTTCTCGATTTTCTCCAGCGCGGCCAAACTGTTGAAGCTAACAAAGCCGTAGCCCTTGGAGCAGCCCGTTCGCTTGTCAAAGATCACGTTGGCGGACACCACGCGTCCGAATTCTCGGAAGTAGCCGCGCAACTCCTGGTGGCCCACCGTCCACGGCAGATTGCCCACGAAAATGCGGTGCACTGATTTTCCTACTTTTGCTACAGCTGCGACGGTGGCCATGGATTCGGTTTTCCTATCTGGGAAGATTTATCAGTTTAATATGGCTTTGTATCGGAGGCCAAGGCAATCCGGACGACTCCTTACCAGTTGCGTTGCGTAAAAACTACGGCGCCTCTATTTCACGATAACTTGTTGTTGTTGTTTTCGAAAAAGCGGGCGTACATAACCTTAAACTAGGGTTGTTGATAATATATCAAAATATCAATATATCGATATTTTCTTTTTAAAATGATATATTTATATCGTAATTTTTTGTTTGCCTAAATATCGGAAAATCGATATATTTTTTTGATATTTTTTGATATTTTTGTCTTGGTTATTTTGAGTTCCAAAGCGACTTCAAGTGAACGAATTCGAGCGCAAAATAATATTTTCGCAAAATGCGCGCAAAAGAAGGAATGTACATATGTAATATGTGTGCGTATGGCCAGATTTCGTTGTCTATGTGTGCATATGTAACTTACGCACATACCACCGAAATTTGGCGCCAAACGCGCACACACACGTTGTTCACACATATATTAATTAGTTTTCATTCTTAGCTGTCCACGAACTTTGAAGGTATTATAAAAATAACGGAGAATTTCAAGAATGCTGAAGTAAGGATTGTTAATAACAAAAAAACGGTGCAAAATTTTCACTTTCCGCCAAAGGATTTCGAAGTCCGGACCGCACTTGTAAACAATTACCGGAACTTATTGTCTTTTTATTGTGGGCAGGAAATTTTTTTATTTAACACAAAAAATATCAAAAATATCAAATATATCGATATTTTTCGGTGATATTTAGAAATATTATTATCATATTATTTGATAAAAAAAATATCATCGATACGATATTTTTTAAAATTTCGACAACCCTACCTTAAACTGTCAGTTAACAGCACTTTGCGATACTCGACGTAAAAGTATTTCGGTTACGACACTATTTGAAACTCTGTTAGCAAGTATGTAAATAAATTCTGGATAATGCCGAAACGGGTGTCACTATGTGAAATTTGTCTGTTACTGTTATTTAACTACAAGTGGACGGCAGGGAATACATTTATAAGAAATTAAAAATCCTTCTATATAAACCCCTTTATAAGGCATCAAATATTCGGTGTTCGATCGCCAAAAGCTTCTTTCAATCATATTGCTTGCGCTTAACAGCACAATTCTTGATGTTAACATGTCTCGTTAAGCACCTTATTAACAGTCTGTAAACCAAACACTTTATGTTTAATTGAAGAAGCGCCAAATTTTAAAAGCAAATAAAAGAAAACACAATGTTTTGATTTTGCTTGATTTTGTTGTATTTTCTGTAATTCTTTTTCTGCTTTTGTGTTCCCTTTCTCATTTATTTCATTTACGTTTTAGTTTAACAAATTTGCTACAAACTACTTAAAATTAACAACATCGCATACACGCATTATTCTCCTTGCAATAAATAAACAAATAGTGATTGTTTCAAATTTACAATACGATAAAAAGAACAATTGGATAAGGGTGGGGTAAAAGGTTAGGGGCGTGTGCAAGCTTTTGTTGTTTAGTTAAGAGTGGTGTTTTTATGCTTTTGGAAATAACATTAACTATGGAAGCAGTTTTCATTTGTTACTCTCTCTCTCTCTCTCTTTCTCTCTCGTTTTTTTATTTTATAGCTGCTCTCCTGAATATCCTGTGATGCCTCGGATGATGTGCCACAATTTCTCAATTCTCAGACTAACTCGGTTCTCATATAATTAGTGATTTGGCTCTCTAAACTCCCTATATATATCTGTCCCAGTCTGCGGCTCGTCATTAATCTGATCTGATCAAATCCGATCAGAAATAACGCGATTTTTAATTCTCATTGCGACTTGGCTCGCCTTACAAAATAGAACTTTTGCCTTGCTTGCTTGTTGGTTGTTGTTTACTTTAATAGTAGTTCATAGTTGTTGGTTGTTGCTTAGTTGTAGATATATATATGTATAAATATATAACTCCCTCGAAAGACAAAAATCTTATCTTATAGAAAAGTGTTATGTTTGGTTTGCAAGCAATGAAACTCTTGAAAGATCTTCCGTCCGTTTAGTTTTGTACAGGAAACGAGGGCAGAACATATATAAGTCTATACAGAATCGGTTACATTTAGCAATTATTCATAATAATGATGTCCAGGAAAGTTTCGTAATCAACTAATTTGTATAATTATAAATATTTTGCTTCATCTCGCTATCTTCATAATAAACAAGTTCCGTTTTATAATAATTAATTGTAATCATGGTATAGAAAGTACAAGACTCTTGTTGTAAGTGGCCTTAGATTTAATTTATAATAATATGATATATATAACTTGACAAATTTGTTCTTAATGTTGTTACTTCACTTTCTGCTCATCTTCGCTTTCATATCTATACTGTGTTCAAGAGTTTTCATTTGATATTTTTTATCAAAATGCACACAAGAAAAACAAACAAAAAATATTCTCAAAAAAAAAATAATAAAAAATAGCTGGTCTACATATATGGACAAATATGCATTTATAATTAAATTGTTATAAAAACTGCAATCTTAATACACAAAAGGAAAATAAAACCATTGATTTCCAGATTTCCAAATCTCTTATCCACATTATCTATTCTCTGTTTCTCTTCACAACTTTTGAATGAATGGTAAATAATAAAAATGAAAAAAATTCGTTAATGTGTCACAGCACCACCATTTTGTTGTTAATTTCAGAAGGTATCATCCCCACATCGCTGGCTTAGGTTGCTCCTCCTAAATAGATAGACTACACTAGCGACAGGCGGCCCACCTGCTACCAGAGGCGGTGCAGGTGCAAGTTCCTCGACAGCACCGACCTCACGTCGTTCGTGAACCTCAGCGCATCCAGCATGGGCAGCAGCGACAGCAACGCCGTGTCCATTGGATCCGAGAACCAACTCTTAATAGGTATGGCATTGTTGGGGAAACAGCGATAGGCCCCCGGCGAATTGTCAATGATGAATATCTGAAAAAAGATATGTCCATTAGCCAGGGCACACATAAATTAAATAAATAAATTTCGCATTTTTTCTGTTTAAAAAATAATAGAAAAAATCTGTCTAAACTGTCAACGAAAGATAGCACTTTTTGTATTCTAAAAACTTTTAAAATTCTTTGTCAGCATTCGTTGCAATGTTTGTAAAACTTACCCTATTTAGGTCACTGCAGATAGCCGACAGGTCTTTGGTATAGGATCCGTAGTCGGGAGTGCAGTGTTGTCTGTAGTATCGTCTCCGGAGTATGTTCCGGCCATTATCCAGCTTGTCCGCCACCGCCGCTCCGTAAATCTCCATGCTGGCCGTGAATATTACAAGGTCGTACCACTGTGAGACCTGCGGAAAGTTAAAAAATATTTAAATTCAACCTCCAATTATAATAAAGTCGGTCAAAGAACTGACCACATCCAGAAAGTAGTCCACATGTGGTCGCTTGTGTACGAAGAAGCGCACTGGATTCCGATCGATGGTTACTTTCACGGTGAAATCGTGCGGCGTTCCCGGCTTTACCGTATTCCGAGGCATCGCATTGTGGTGGGAGTGGATGAGCGTTTCGTCCAGGTCCAAAACGAGGGTCTTTCGCTGCACCAGGCTCAAGCGGTGCCGCGAGACGGGTGACAGCGGGAAGAGTTCATATTTAACCGGTTGATACTGTATAAACTAAGGAAGTTAATACAATCAACGGAGCAGTACTTGGAAGGCATTCAACTTAGGGCTTTACTACGTTTCTAGACTCTAGGGTTATTGTGCAAGATAGTGTTAAAGGTGAGAGAGACCTCAAAACGGTGATTTTACTGCAGTTGGGTCTAACAAGTAATTTTGTATTATCATATTGAAAACAAACAAAAGGAAGCTACAATTTGCATCGAAAACTAAGAAAATCCCATTTAGATAAAAATTAAATGTTCGGGGCTAAAAAGATTGCGAACTAATAAAATAGGGGAAATAAAAGATCGGAGGTCGAAGGTCAGTGCTTCTTGCCGCGTCACGATTTCGGGCCAAAAATGCCGGCACAGTGAAAAACATTAAAGGTGGTCGATAAGGCAATTGAGTGTACTGCTCAGGCGGAAACCGGGGATCCGATGGAACGAACAAGCCCCATTAAACGTGCCGAAATAGTGATAAAATTTTCCACAGCTGTCACTGACTAAGAGGTTCACAATTGTAATATCTAAAAATTTGCATTACTTCCATTTATTATTATTTTTTAAGAAGGGGTCCACTACAAATAAGAAGCTAAAATAGAATTGTGTTGCAAGTTAAATAGCGAGGCGAAGTTATAGATATTACATGTTGTTTTTTTGTGCACCATAGCGAGTTTCAACTGTATCGTTGATAGTCTTATCACAGCGAGGGCTTTTATTATTGTGTAGTAGTAAGTACTTGTGTCGATTGCGGGAGCGGGTTGGCAATTTAGTTTCAGGGTTTCGAACGGGTAAAAATAAAATCTACTTTATTTCTATTTTTGTTTATTCCCTTTGCTTTTTGCAAATTTTGATTTTGTACTTACAGCTCGCACTTGGCGATTGAACATGAAACAGATGCATGTCCAGACTTTTGATAGCAACAACAAAAGCGCATGGAATTTCATTTGCAGCAGCGAAATCATTTGAAATCAATGAAATCTATGGTTCTTTTTGGGCGATTAATTCGATAAATCGGCCACGATCCGCGGTTGACCGCGGTGCGAGCGAGATGGAGCGAATTGCAACCGGCTAAAAAAGATTCTTTCTTCTTCTTGCCTTTCTTCCTTTTTAGATGTTACTTTGCCACCAATTGTTGTTGTTTTTGATAACGCGGTGGGCAACACACACGCACTCACCCGCACACAAACGCACGCGGGTGCGCTACACACACACACCCTCAAATAAAATCGATAACAAGGCTTCAGTTTTTTTTTTTGTGGAAAAAGAGTTCCTCTAGTTTTTCGCGGTCTTTTTTGGGGCTCCACTAATTATTTGTCGATTAGTTTTGCTGTCCCCTTTTTGTGGGGACGATTTATTTTCACCTTTTTTGCTTTTTATAGCTGGCGTCGGCTCTTCTTCTTTTTTGTTGTCTTGTAAGCGTGTGTGTGTGTGCGTTGTTTTTTAATTTTACTTTTCGGCAAAAGAGCGACAACAACAACAACAACTCACTATCGAAGCGATTGAGAATAAACTTTGTTTTTGGTTTTGAGCAAAACGGAACCAATTGATTGAGCTATAGCACTTTTGTCGGTTGGGAGATGCGTTTGCCTAAGAAGTCCGTTCTTGCCGTGGACCGTTCATAACTCTTTGGCGCTGCGGCGTTGCGTTTATTACATAAATACAGTTTGTCCGCGTTTCGTTTTTGTTTAATAAATTCCCACACTCATGCACACACATACACTCGACCTAGAGCTGGAATAGAAATTATCGAAAGACACAGACGGCAGGCAACATCGATATCTTCCTGCATCGATTATTTAAAAAAAAAACGAAATATGTACTTGCAAATTTTAAGTTTGACTCGCCGGATGTGGTTCTAGGAATATCACGGAATATGAAAAAAATGCATCGAAGAAATCATCGAAGAGAAAATATTCCTTATTATTGATTTGCAATATCATTCGCAGCGCAGACACAAACCTCGCCAATGACTTACGTTTTTGAAATAATAAATGAAAGCCGTAATATACATTTTATATTTATTGTTAATTGGAATAATTAAAATGGGCTGTTTTCCGCCAATTTATTAAAAATTTACCCGCGATTTAGTTCAACCACTAGAACCATCGGTCAAATATCGCACACCGTTCGCGGTAATTGTTGGCGGCCAGCGCAATGGTCCCATCATTCCACATCAGCCCCTCTCGCACACACACACGCCCGCACGCCCTCGCGCTCACACACCCGCACACACACACATACAGAGGCAGTGGACACGAAACGAAAACAATTATTTTGCATCGCAGTCGATAAGTTAAAAACGAACTAGAACGCATTGGAATCATGTCAGCGGCTGGCAGATCGGACGACGATCCCGGTCAGAATTCGGCTGTGGACCAAGAACCTGATCCGGGGCAATCGACGCCAGCAGTGGCCGAAATCGCCGCCTCCAGTGTGAGTGTTTCGTGTTTTTCGCCCCACTTCGTTTTTTTCTGTGTTCTTCTCTTTTTTTGCTGACGACGACGGAAGACACGTCAACTTCTTTAAGTTTGTTTACCTTTCGATTTTAACCGCCAAATATTCACCATTAGATACGATCGGGACTGGCCGAGCTAGAACTGCGATCCTCGCAAGTGCTACAGCGTTTGGAGAACGTAAAGGTGTCGTCGTCTTCGCCCGAGCATCCCAATCTCGACGAGAGTCCCGAAGGGGAGGGAGATGAAGATGATCCGACGGTGGCAGTGGCCAGCGGAGATCAGCGGCATAACCTTCTGCCCGCAGAGCATCGGGTGCCCTCCGATATCCTCAAGTCCTTGGAACAACTGGTCTCCTACACTGACAGCGACGACGATCCGGAGTTCCCACTGCCCGCGTTAGACGATGTCTCCCATTTGGCGCTCATCTCGCACAGCATTGTGGCATATCTGTCGCATCTGGATCGCCAGCAACTGCTGCGGGTCACGAATAGCATTTCCGGCGATGCCACCCGCTGGCTAGGCACGCTGTTCCACTTTGCCCATCCGGCGAGCAGCTTCCATGCGGACAATGCGGACGCCGTGTTGCGTACAGTGCGTCTCGCCATTGTGGCCAGGTGTCCGGGGTATTTGGAGGGCGGAATACCAGCTCTGGCTCAGCCCACGTTCTACATCTCGGAGAACACGACGCCGGTGAGGCTCCAGTACGCCTGTCGGCAGCTAGGCATTCCGCTGGAAGCGATTAAGGTCATACCCGAGCACAGTCAGTACGGAACTATGGATGTCACCCTGCTGCAGAAGCAAATCCAACTAGATGTGGGCAATAACAGGACGCCGCTGCTGGTCGTCGCCGACATTGGAGCCTCGCTGTGCGGCTATGTGGACAATCTGCTGCGGTTGCGGGACGTATGCAAGGCGCACAACATGTGGCTGCATGCCAGCGGTCATGGACTGGCTGCCTTGGTCTGCGCCCAGAATCAGGGCCACGTCGAGGAGGTGCTCCACTCAATGGCCCTGAATCTGGGAAGCTGGCTGGGCGTACCTAGTCTGCCGATTGTCCTCTTGCATCGTCCGCTGCTAAACAGCGCGCTGAGTGCCTTCGAATCCGATCCGATATTGTCGCGTCGCCTCAACGCCTTGTCCCTGTGGACCAGTCTTCAGGCTTTGGGCCGAAAGGCAATTGCCGAGCGCCTTCATGTGGCCTTCCAAACGTGCAGTATTCTCTTCGAGATTGCCTCCAAGTGCGAGGGCATCCGGGTGTTGGTGAGTTTAGGGTTTTTATATTTAAAAAGTTCTTAATTTACTTATGGTTCGTCCATCTTTTTTTGTAGAGCCACACGCCTGGAGCGCAGACCGGAGCCTCTTTGTCGGATATCATCCAAAGTCCCTTCGATATCCAGGCGCTTTTCGATGCCGCCGCCCCTGTGGTCGCCTATCAGTTCGATGGTAGCACTACCATTCCGCTGGGGGGCAGTGGCTCTTCTGCCGCCGTTGCCGCCGAGCGGGAATCGGCCGAAGGCCTGAAGCCGCTGGAGAAGATTAACAATGCTTCCTACTTCGACCGCCTCAATTCCTGGCTGGGTCAAATTCTCCAACGAGACTGTCCCAATGTGAGAGAAAATAATTATATATTTTTTTGAGTTAATGCAACGCCATCTGTTTTCAGTTTGATTTCGAGGTGATTGAACATCCGACGCACGGCAGCTGCATTCGTTACTGCCCTCTGGAATTGGGCTTGGGAGAACAGCCCCCGAGCTCCGAGAATCTAGAGAGCTTCGCCCAAAGTTTAGAAGCTCATGTGGACATCCTGCGGGCAACGATCAAGCACAAGGCGCGCTTCATCCATCTGGTTGAGCGCAGCGAGGTGCTGCGCCTCGTCCCGCTGCCGGAATGGGCGGGCATGGGCGGTGTGCGTTTTGTGCCCGAAGGCTGGGAGTCTCTGCTAACGGACCAGGCCAAAACGGAGCTAAACAAGCTCAACATCGATCTGGTGGAGGCTTTAAAGTCTACGGACAATGCCTTTTCCCTGGGCGAGGGCACCGATGGTCTGATTTGTGTGCGATTCGGAATGGTGACCCATGAAACGGAGGTCGAGGAGCTACTGGATCTGGTGGTCACGGTGGGCAAAAGTGTGCAGGAAAACTCGCGGGTATTAGACACCATGTCTGAGATTGTCAAAAAGGTTGGATAGTCTGTTGTTTGATTTATGCAGGTAATTTAAAATTTGTTTTTGTATCTTAGGGGATTGAGGCGGTGACTGCGGATCTGCAACGAGAGTCGGAGGAGAAGCTGTGGCAGGAGGGCATCCTGCGGCACGTGCCCGTGGTGGGTCGCGTCTTCAACTGGTGGTCACCGCCGGCCAAGGAGTCGGGCATCAAGGGGCGTAGCCTCAATCTCACCCAGGGTGTGGTTGAGAGCACAGAGAACATTTACAAGTAGGTCATAGGGAGCATCTATGTATTTAATCTATTTTATTAATTATTATTACTCAAAGGTACCACATGCAGATGACTGGAGCCACCGCTCATCAGTTGCCAGCGAATCGTTCGCCACCCACGCCCATGGTGCAGACTCCTGTGGGCGCCCCGTCGTCGCCGCCAGTCTTTCCCATAGTGGAACCCGTGCCCGGTAACGTATCCGCCTCCGGATCGGGGGAAGCCACGCCCGTTCAGCCGGCAGAAGTTACGGTATCGGGATCAGTTGTCGCAGGAGCGACACCGGCATCCCCGCCCACACAAAACCATGTGGATCATGCTCGCACTGTCAGCCAGAGCAGTGCCGCCTCCTCCAACGTTCCCGAACTCGTGGCCGCAAACAGTGCAATTAACAATAACAATTAACAAAACTTTAGTAATTCAAACATACCTATAGATGAACAGCAGAAAAAGCGGAAACTTTTAGATCAAGGCAGAGCCGGCAAAATGGATTTCAAAGTGGGAGAGGCCTTAAAAAGCAGCAATATCAAACAAGGCTTAACAAAAACACGTAGACAAAAACAATTAACATGAACAGATTACCATACACTTATATAGAAGGCTTCATTTTACCATCCCCTACTAAAAAAAAAAACACAAAACGAAAACAAAATAATTCCAAAGATGATTGTTTGCCTAAAATGATGATAACGCAAAATCCAATTTAATTGCTTTTATGTATTTATATATATATATTGCTATTCCTATGATCTTATGTATCTCTATATTATATATTATATTATTTTATTATACTTTATTCCCATTATTGTTGTTAATCAGAAAGAAAATGAGCGGAATTTCCCCCCTTTTCATTTGTAATTTTTTTGCAATATTTTACTTTTTATTTTTGTCTCTATTTGTAATTATTATTCAGATGCAAGTACCTTTGAGAGAGATAATATATAGGCAATTGTTCAATGTTCAATTGTGTGAAGCAATAAATTGCGCTATTCTTATTTGTTAAGAAGCTAAGTGACAAAAACTAAAGAAATTAAAAACAAAAAAAGTATATAATTAAATGACAAAAATATATTTATTATACAAATTGCTGCTAGAAGAAAACAAAATCTGCACAAAATATGATAAAAGAGAAAAAAAACTATACAAAATAAAATGTGAAATACTTTAGAAAGAGAAATCAAGTGTTATTCTTTACCCCGTTACGTTCGGTTGGATATATCTAATCTCTTCCCAGCATATTTGCTAATAATGTTATCTAAATTTGTTCCGCTCAAAGTTCTGATAAAGTTAACGTTAATTGGTGTAGAAACCAAACATTTGATAAATCCATGAGCTGATATTTTTACTTTTAAAATTGATAAGATGATTCCAACCCTGATTTGCAATGATTTCGGTGGCTCCCATTAAAAAACAATTTTTCTCCATCTAACTAATGCAATTAAATTTTATATTTTTATTTTTATTTAGTATTTTTGTTCGATTTTTTAGCGTTTTACTTTGCCGCTATTTGCTTTTGAAAGAAACTTCTCTTCGTTTCGCGGGAATCTCGGGTTTTTCATTTTCCGATTTCGATTTTTCGCATAAAATATTTTTTCATTCCAGAAATTTGGTTTCCCCGCCTTTCGGAACAATTCCAAAATTTGACGGGACTAAAGTGGTTTCTGGAACTCACTTATTTATTAGATTTTTGTATTTCGTACTTCTTACAAGATTCTGTAAACTGTTTTTACGCTTTATTATTATTTACTTTTTGTCGTTCATTTTATAATTTTACTCGTTTATTAATATGCCACTAAGCGCTTCGATTTATGTCTCTCTTCTTTACATTTTCTTTAACTATGCATACTATATATTTATATATATATATATGTTGTACAACTCGATCTTATCTTGCTTATTGCTGCTGCCGTTGAGCTATCGAAAAATTAGCAAATTTTGTTTTCAATCTCGTTCTGCCCATTTCTCAGCTTTTGTGTTTTTTGAGTTCGGCTGCTTTTGGTTTTGTTTTTTTTTTAGTGATTTTCTTTTATAATAACTACAACGCGTACGAAGACAACATTTAACACAGAAATATATTTACGAACTAATTGTGTTATATTTATATGTACGTGTAAATCGAGTTTCGATCTAGGCTCGAAACTTCCATTACGAAAACTCTGCTTCTCAAGGGGTTTCATTCGTGGGTTACCAAAGCGGTTTTGGGTACTGTTTATGGGGATTTTGTGGATCCTTAAAGGATTCAATTCAGTTTTGATGTTCTATTTTTTCTATGACCGCTTGAGAAGGTTTATTCGTTCTTATTGTGTATGTTTTTTATATAACTGGTAATTGTATAATAAGCGAATAAAAAACTTGATTAGTTTGTTCCTTTTTTCTTTACATCATCTTTACATATTTACTTTAAAAATGTCGCTTGTGTTTACGATTGAGTTAATTTCGATTTGAGTACCCGATTGCTAATATCTTACAATTGATCATTTCAATAAGAGTACGCTCTATAGTTAGGGTTTCGTTAATTGTATATTATGGCTAGATTGGTAAATGTTGAGAACTTTCGCTGTGTGGGCAGTGTTCGGGGTTCGGCTTAGTTGATTGGCCTCATCCATTAAAAGTTGGCCTCCGGAAATCCCGTCTAAAAATGCTTCGATTATTCTTGCTTTTGGGTTGCTGCTATATATAGTTGTCGATAGGCTTTAGTATCTTGTCTATAACTATTTTCTTTATAATATCTATTTGTGTATATATCGCGTGTATATATCTATATAACTTTTGTAGTTCGGTTTCTTCATTGTCGGTTGTGTTATGTTTTTCCTTTTTTGTTTTTTATTTTTTTTTTTTTTGATTGGGGGGAGGGGGCAGTATTTTGTGTTTGTTTCATATTGCTATCGTTTCCATGCCAAGTCGAATTTGAAGCTGGTGGTAAACAGCCAACCAACCTAAATCTCTCATCTATTTGGTTATTGTTGTTACGCTATTGCTATATGACTTTCGTTTAGCTAGTAAATATACAGTTAGCCCACTAAATATATCTACATATATCTTTATTAATGTTAAGGTTTAATAAATGCATTCCATGTTAAGCTTAGGTTAAATACACAATAAAATCGCGGGCTCAAATCCTTGATCGATTTAGCCCGCCAGTCCCGGACGACCCTGCATTTCCCAGGATCGTCCGCAGCACAACCCAGACCCAGGACAGAGTCGAGCACTTTGAACGAGGGATCCATCTGAATGGCTGTGGCTCGGGAAGCTGTGATCCATGAGGTCCTAACAACAGCAGTACGTGTATTTGGAGCGCTTCAAAAATTGTCCATTAACTAATGTAAGTTTGGCATATTCGAGGTCATATCGGTTCGATTTTCTTATAACATAAAATAAGGAATCCTTCGAAAACAATGGTTTTGCCCCACCATCATATTCGCTTTTGTAAAACATTTATTTTTGGAGTAGGTATAAATGCAATCAGTCAAGGAACTTAGGCCATTAAAAATGTTTAATAATAATTAATATTGTAAATGAATACTTAAAACCGCCATATGTGGGGAAAATAAAAAGGAACGCATGTGAATGCTCTTCAAAATTTGGAGTTTTGAGCAACTTCAATAATATTGGAATGACTAGAGTTTAGAATATCACAAATGCATATTACTATTGAAGAAATGTCATAAGAATTCGTAAGATTGTTAACCAAAAAAAAAAAATTTTTGTATATGAAAAATATGTCTATAATCTAAAGTTTTTCAGTTAATAATATATGATATTTAACGCCCGATTTTAAGCGAAACTATAAAACCATATAAGAACCTGCCACGCCTCATTGCCCATCCATTCAGTTCCCCTTGTCTTATTAAAATTGACTCCCGACAAGTGCCTAAAAAAATCTTTGCTAATGTTTCTACTACAGTTCGATTCTAGAACTTATGGCCTACAATCCGAATTCGATTTAAATTTTTTTGGTGGTTGGTTTTTAGGTTCATGTGTCGGTCTTTCGTTTCAAGTGTCGTTACTTTTCTTCACTTTTTTTTGGTTGTAGAGGACATACAATTTATATAAATACTTTTAAAGATTAATGTTGTATAATACAATAAGTTAGCCCCCATAAAATTGTTTCTTCTTTGACAATTTAGCGGTTTAAAATTGGTAAAAATATGCTATTATCAAAAAGGAATAACCGTGTCCTAAATGGATATATTCATATATATATATTTATATAAGTAATAGATCGCTGATATATGTTACATGTGTCCGAGTGTGTTTGTCTGTCTGTGCGTGTCTAGGTCTGTGTGTTTATATCCCTTTTCCTTTGAATGAATATAGTTCAGTGTATACTATGTACAAAAGTCGAAAAGCAGGATTTCGGTCTAGGATACGATTACGATTACGATACGATACGCTACGTTAAATGCAACAAATCAAGAAGGAACACTCGCCGCTCCAGCACTCCCAAGTCCCATTCCCTTTCCTTTGATATACATACATATACATACATATATATATATATATATATATATATATATATCCTACACGAAGAGTTCTAGGAAGACGTCCCCAATCCCCAGTGTCCTGCCCAATTCCTGTTATACTGTTTTGTTTCGCCTGCCCTTTCTGTTTTTCGGGTTTTTAGATTTAGCAATCCTCGATCTTACAGCTCCGTAACCGCATAGTTGCTTTCGTCGGTTATCGCTGGCGGTGGCGGTGGCAGATCATCATCGTCGTCCACCGCTCCGCCGGACCCGCCGGCCACGCCCCCACCGCCACCGCCATTGTGGAGGACCTTGCCATTGGCAGCCGGTCCAGGTCCCATTCGACCCTTTGTCGCCTCCGTTTGCGCCTCCAATGGCGGCGGTGGCAGCGAGGTGTCCTCGTTGGCGTTTCCTCCTCCCAATCCTCCAGCTCCTCCGCCCCCGGCGCCTCCTCCCACTCCACCGTTCTGGAGGCCAGATGGCACCCCACCGTTGGCCTCGCCCAGCGGCTGAGCGGCGGGCGGCGGCGGCGAGGTGGGCGTGCCAATGCGTGGCGGTGGAATCGCCTTCATCTGCGGCGGCAATTTCATCGGCGGACGCTGCAGAGTCCTGCGGGGAAGCACAAAAATAATTTAGTTCTTAATGCATTTACAATTTTTTAAATTTAACTGTCTATGGGTTAAGGTGCAAGCCGCTACAATTTGTTTATAAATTTTTAAATTTTCATATACCTACTTATTGAGACAAACAATAGAGAAACTTTTTCAAATCAATTTGTTAATATTAAGTAAATAAAAAACCACACAAATCATAAGCAATATATGGAAAATATTTAAAAAAAACGTCAACGTCAGGATTGAAGCTGAAACCCTAATGCAGCATTTGCAGAGCATCAACTTATTATCTTATTAATGTAATATACTACTTTGATTGTCATTATCATTACTTTGAGTAGTTTTGGTGGTGGGCCTGCTGGCGCTGCTCGTATATGGACTCCACCTTGGGCTGCTCCGCATCCTTGGGGATCTCCGGCAGCGGGCAATTGAGTATCGATGGCTTGTACTTGGGATCGAACTTGCCGCCCTGCCGCAAAGTGGAGCACTTGTAGATCTGCTTGTCCCGGTCATAAATGGCGCCATCCATGGTCGTGCTAATAGGTATGACATCCGAATCGTTTTGCTGTTGTTGCTGGTGATGTTGCTGCTGCTGCTGCTGCTGGTGATGTTGCTGTTGCTGATGCTGCTGGTGCTGCTGCTGCAGTTGCTGTTGGTGCTGCTGCGGCGACTTGAGCTGGTGCAACTGCTGCTGCTGCTGCGATGGCGGCGGTGGCTGCTGCTGTTGCTGCTGCTGATGCAAGCTGGGTGGATGCTGGTGGGCCGGTATTTGGGGTCCGCCCTGGCTATTCTGCCGCCGCATCGTGGCCAAATTCGATACGTATATGGAGCCCTGGCTGACAGCAACCAGCGGCTGGTATATCGAGTGCGGATTGCCATTGGCCGCCAGTTGGGGCGCCAAGTGGGCCGGGATCTGCTGGTAAATCTGACTCTGGCCCGGCCCCAAATGGTGCGGTCCATGGTGGGCCGCTGTCGTATAGGTGCCATATTGTTGGGCCTGCTGTTGATGGTAGATGGCGTGCTGATGCTGCACTGCAGCGGCGACGGCGGCGGCCGAATGCGAGTGCGGATGCTGGTGCGGATGGGGATGCGGATGCTGGTGCGGATGATGGCAATAGATGGGCTGCGGTCCTCCCAATTGCTGCTGTGCCTGCTGCTGCTGCTGCTGTTGCTGCTGTTGTGCCTGTTGCTGTTGCTGCTGTTGCTGTTGGGCGGCCTGCGTTGTCGGCGGCAAATTGGCGGCGGCGTTTGCTGCTGCTGCGACTGCTGCTGCTGCGGGGGGTGGCGACGGTTTTCAGTAAAAGTCATTCGCTTCCAATGTCTTGCATTGTTTGCTTAGGGTTGCATATTTACCATTATTGGGACCTACAAAAATGCACACACACACACAGAACGATTAGCAATAGGCGCGGGTTGGACGAAGGATGTGGAGTTGGATGCAGGATGCAGGATGCAGGATGCGGATGTAGGTTGCACGATTGCAGGTTTGCAGATTGTCGACGCAACGATGGTGTGGTTGGTGGTTATAATGTGGATCGTTGGATGGGCGCGGGCATTTCGCATGGAATGAGATTATATAGAAGAAAAACGTACATGATGAGAACAAATTGAGCGGCTAATTTTTTATGCTATCTGCCAGAATCTTTATTATAAAAACTTAAGATAATTACTAAATATTTGAACGTCATAAACTTTGATAAACCAGACCTCAAAAGAATGAATTCTATTAAACTTTAAAGCGGCCAAAAGGGACTTAAAAGTTTTAACTCATTTACGAAATTCCAGCTCAATTTGGTCTCCGGGTTTTATACACATATGGACACAAAGATTGATTATATATGCACACAAGCACTGAGAGAAAAACCGCCTTCAACAATATCAAAAAGCTTGTATTTAAATAAATAAAAGAAAACAAATATATAAAATATATTTAAAATGAAATGCTCATTTTATTGACTGCTCAAATTGAAAATGTCTTTTGATCTTAATCAGATATAAAATCATTAAAAACATAACAACAATAAAACCGAGGTAACAATAGGGGGGTCCAAAAAATTGTTTCATTTATTCAGCTTAGAAACCTAAAAAAAAAAAATTAAAGTTTTGGAAAATAAAAACAATATAATTGATAAATAATATAAATGATAAATAGTAAATAATATAAATGATAAATAATATAAATAATAAATAATATAAATAATAATGGCAATGAACTCTTGAGTTTACAGCGATTTTTGTCTTAGTGCAAAGTCAGATAGAGAAGTGGGCGTGTGGTCTTGAGTTTCGAATCGGAATGGGAGTGGGTGGTCCGGGCTCCCCACTTACCGGTCATGTGGGTGGGGCTGTGGTTGTGCGACGGCAGACGGCCGAGCGTGTGGGTGCCCATGGCGCGCATGTTCTGCTGGATGTGGGCGTGGGCCATCATCTCGTGCTGCTGCCGCTTGCTGGGATGCTGGAGCGTGTGGGAGCCACTGATCACCGGCGGACTGAAGTGCCTGCAAAGTCAGTTATGGCGCAAGAACAGAAGAGAAACGGGACGAGACAGAACAAAGAGAGAGAGAGAGAGAGATCGAGAGAATGGAAGCGGGAATCGGGCGGGACGGGTCGCGATAGGATCATCTAGAACATACCCATTATGATTGCGTGGCAATGTCCTGGCCGCATTCATCATCTGCTGGTGATTCTGTGGTGCCGGATGAGAAATATACGACGGTTCATCCACCTGGGCGTAATCGTTCCGCTTGCGTATATAGATCCAAGTATGCGAATCCACCCAAACCATAATGGTCAGCAAAATGGCCGCAATGAAGCTGGCTATCAGCATCAGAACCAATCCCAGTAGTCCTCCCTCGCAAAGTCCACGGGCGGCGGCCAAAAAGTTATGATGCACCGCCTTGCAGTCCACAAGTGCCGTCAATTGGGTCAGCAATCTCTCACTGCTATTCAAATCCGCATTCACAGCACCCAACTTCGGTTGCAAGCCCGATGACTTGAAGAGCACCAGTGATATCTTCATAACCGTGGCCATGGCGCTGCGGGCATTGTTCAACGAATTCTGTGATTCCCTCAGTCGCTGGGTAAACGGATTCGTGTGTCCCGGCTCACATTGGGTGTAGTGCAACAGGACATTGGTGGGCAGGTCTCGGGGTGCAGCAGATACCAGAAAATCCGCTGGTGAGATGCACAGATCGCCGACAGCCACCGAGGAGGAGAGATAGAGACCGGACATCAGCCAGGAACCAGTGACGGCCAGTAGGCCGCAGACGCTGAACAGGATGAGGGCGCAGCGTGAGTGCCGGGCCACGCCCACAAGAAGTACAGCGCACAGGACAAGAAGCAATGCCAAAGTGGCCACCGTGCCCGGCCAACGAATCAGTTCCCATTGGTCGCCGCGCTAAAGTTTAAAGCATTCAATAGGTTAGATAAAAATTCAAAATTCGAAATATACATACCGTCAAAAAGTGCGTCATGGAGATGCCCATCAGGGGTCGACGGATGTCACTGGCCGCATTTGTGGCCAAGGTAACATTTCCCTGGACAATATTGAGCGATACAAAGAGTTTCGAGAGAGCCGTTTGATTCGACACCGGCTGATCGAATATATCCGCCAGTTCCACCAATTGTGGGCGAATTCGATTCGTTAGCGTATTTTCCAGGATGTGCGTCTGGTTCCGGATGGTTGTGACCAGGTTGTCCACCTTTCTGCCGGCCGTTAGCACTTCGAGCAGACCGTTGTGCAGATCATCGTTGCCATACAATCCCAATCCAATTGCCGCACAACACATGACCGTAACGATGGACAGGGCAACCTTCAGGCTGGTGATCGAGTGGGCTGGCCGGGGCTTCCGGTCGCAGCAGCGGGTCATCAGATAGAAGAGCAGTCCCAGCAGCGAGACGATCAGCAGAGCTGCCGGAACTGAACCCAAAATGCCAAGACTCTACAGGTGTAAATCAAGAGAAATGGAAAATATTGATTAAGAAAGGTATTAACAGATTGACTTAAAGACTTTATAATTTTAAACACAGTTTAACCCTATGCTTTAATAATTAATTATGCTTATGCCTATGCTTTAACTATAATTAAATATGAGACAGAATCAAATTACATATATTGAATCGGATTAAAAATAAGAAAGTTATGAGTTTAGAAGTGTTGAAAACTTGGAAATTAAGGAAAATCGACCCAGAAATAAAAAATAAATTAGTGATGCAGATTGTTGGGGAATTAAACTACGAATTAAAACAGCTATGCCACTTAAAAGTCGTAGACAAATTAAAAAAGTTACGGGAAGTCTAGAGGATTTAAAATTTTTACAGGAAGTGAAGGAACTGGACTGGTCATATAGGGTCTACCCACCTCCAAGTAGATTTCATCGTTGGGCCGGAACGTGCTGTTGATCTTGTGGAACGTGATGTTGTAGTGGGGCAGGGCGTGAAGTAGCTTCGCTATCACCGGCACCTTGTATTGGTCCGTGAACTCGTGATAGTCGCCCATCCTGGCCTGCTGTCCTCCGCTTTCCCCTTTTCTAGACTCTGTGTGCCTGCTCTTCCTGTCCTTTGTTGCTCCAGGCGGTTTTTCTGTTCCTTGTACTACTGGGTTTTCCTGCTACGTGCTCACGGGCCTGAGTTTCCTAACCTCTTGACACCGAATCCAAATTGCCGAGCACTGTAGAAGGGGTTAAGTAAGCGGGGGAGAAAAGGATATTTAGTAACCAGAAGTGTACATTTCTTAATTAATTTGTGGTCTACCAGGCGAAAAAAAACTCGTTTAATATTTATTATATCGAGACCTTTGAAATGTTAAAGTACCGAAAGTATTTGGCACTGTTGAATTCACTAGCTTTGTGCAAGCAAATCAAATTTTTTTAGCAAAGTACTTATTAGTTTGATTTTACTTTTAACTCTACAGATAACGATTTGACCTTTTGAAATCTGACATTTTTAGCAGATTAAATTTAAAGAGAGAGAACCGACATACATACATATGTACATATGCAAATTCTCACGCACGGCTAAATAATATTTAATATGGGTTGCATGCTATATTACGTTTTAGAGAAGCATATTGATTATTGTTTTACAGTAGGGCTTGCTCATCTTATTACTTGTTTTATCTCATTTTAACATAAATGAATGCAATAACGTTTTCCACCCTTAAATTCATTGACTGGGCGAATTATAGACCCGCTTAAAAATATGCAAAATAAACTGTATAATTCTGCTTCTTCTTTCTCTATAGGGATCTGGGATTGCGATAGCGATTTTAACCCCACTTTCTGGGACACTCGAAATAACGACTCCTGCATGTACACATACATACACACACGCATACAAATGTGGGCGTGGGGGCGTGCATGCGTGGGCATGGCCTTAATTGCTCAATAAGTAGGTTGCCTCCACTTGCGGGCGTTTTTAATTAAACAACATTCAGGGATTGCCGGTTAATTTAGTTTGCCTTTAGTTTGGTACGCTTAAAAGATTTTGCAACACGAACAAGGGTGTGTTTTTTTTTCTTTTTTAATTCACTTTTGCATGATTTTGATTGAGGACGAACGATGCTGCCCAGCGCAATAGCAATTTTGTTCACTTGTCTTCCTCTTCCTGCTTTTGTTCAGTGCAGCAACAACAACAACGGGTGCGAGCGCGAGTAACGGTAACGCGGCTGCGCGTGCGTTTGTATATCTATTGATTAAAAGTTCGCTCTGCTTTTGCTTATGCTTCCTCTTCCTTATCCTTATTCCTTTTCGGCAGTTCTCTCGTAATTGCTGCGCCCACTTTCCGTTGCCCCGCCCCCTTGCTTTTGGCCCACTCCTTATTTTTTGCCCACACACCCGCACACACGAACTGCAAAATGCGTTTGCAATACAACTACTAATGCAACAATAACACACACATTCGTACGACAACGGTTTTAATTAAATTCGCAAGCTATTTCGGCACCAATATTAATAAAGAACGTTAAAATTAAAGCACTCCCTTTTTCGGGGTACACAATTTTCCACAACAAACAAAGCCCAAAAGTCACTCGGCAAAATTCAAAATTATTACTTTTTGCTGCACTTTTTTCGGTTGACAGACTTTGGCCTTTTCCCATAAATTTGACTACTTCTCTTTTGATTTGGACACACGCGTCTCTTTCTAAATGCAATTAGTTTGTAATGTTTTCGGGTTGAGCTTGATTTGATTTTTGTTTTTGCAATTTATGAGAAAAGGCAACACAACACACGAGCGAGGACCTTCACATTCCGAAGACTGGGCAAAGTATGAAAATTTCGTGTCGTTCAATTTGGTCACACCCTCTGGATAATGCTCACGATGTTGCTGTTTTTCACAGGACGAAAAGGTCCTTTCGAAAAACCGAACTCTTAGCAGTGTGACCGCCTAAAGCCAGCTTACATACACCAAAGGATTCCAAAAAATGACTAAACATGTTTTTGTAATATTGAAGATATTACATAATCAAGATTGAGACACTGAAATTGATTTGCTTCAAGGTTGTCTTTGACACATTTGTTTTAAGTTTATATAAAAGTAGTTCAAAGTCATTAAAGTATATGGACAAAGCACTTTTCTATTTTCTTTATAAAAAAAAGAACGCTTCAACGTAACGGTTTGTTCCTAGTTAGCAGAATAATTATAGTTCACAGAAATTTCAGTTACTTTTAAAGTCGTTTCAGAAGTTTAAATTAAATGTCTTAATATTCGAAGGTCACACTAAATTTGCAATCTGAATTCGCACAGTGGTGGCTAAGAAGTTAGCAGCCGAGTAAAAAATAAATATATATTATAAAAAAAAATGTAAACTGTATGTTTAAAACAAAACAAAAATGGAATTGCATTAAAAAATTTTTTTTTTGCAATAAAGCCGAAAAAAGTTAACTTTCCGTTACAGAAACTCTAAGAGAGCTTTTCAACAAGACCTAAAAAAAGAGCTGCGAGTATACATTCCGTAATTCTCAACACTCCAGTGCTGGCTAACGCAGAGCCGTTCGGCGGTTAAGTACTTAATGTGACCAGATCACCGTGCTGCATAGAAAGGTGCGACCAGAAGTCACAACGTTTGCATGGTTGATCAGCGGACGGTCACCAGCTACTCCTCTTTTTTAGTAGTGCAAAAAAAAACAAAATAAAGAAGAAGAAACGAAAAACAGGGCCAGCAGCTTGAGCCCAAATATATAACAAATATAACATTTTATGTGGTCAAAATGAGCGTGCTGCCGTTCGTGCGCGGTGTGGACTTTACGAAAAATGATTTCAGCGTAAGTACAAACCATAAAACCAGCCCGCACTGTTGTTGTTTTTCGGGGGTTCTAAAAAAAAAACGAAAAAAATAAGCAAGAAACAGGTCACCACCGTAAAGCACACACCGAAAAACCTGGGCATTAGTCATAAGTCAGAGTGAAGATAATCCTCAAAATATGAAATATTGCATTCCAGGCAACATTCCCCAGCTCCATGCGGCAGATGTCGCGGGTGCAGTGGCTCACGCTGGATCGCACGCAGCTGGCGGAGATTCCCGAGGAGCTGGGTCACCTACAGAAGTTGGAGCATCTGTCGCTGAACCACAATCGCCTGGAGAAGATCTTCGGCGAGTTGACGGAGCTAACTTGCCTGCGTTCCCTCGATTTGCGGCACAATCAGCTCAAAAACAGTGGGATACCGCCAGAATTGTTTCACCTGGAGGAGCTGACCACCCTGGACCTGTCGCACAACAAACTGAAGGAGGTACCAGAAGGCTTAGAGCGGGCCAAAAACCTGATTGTGCTTAACCTGAGCAACAATCAGATCGAGAGCATACCCACGCCATTGTTCATCCACCTCACGGATCTGCTCTTCCTGGATCTCTCGCACAATCGATTAGAGACACTGCCGCCGCAGACGCGACGTCTGATTAATCTAAAGACCCTGGATCTATCGCACAATCCGCTGGAGCTTTTCCAATTGCGCCAGCTGCCCTCGCTTCAGAGCCTTGAGGTCCTTAAGATGAGCGGCACGCAGCGCACGCTTCTTAACTTCCCCACCAGTTTGGACAGCTTGGCTAATCTCTGTGAGCTGGACCTGTCGCACAATTCGCTGCCTAAGCTGCCCGACTGCGTCTATAATGTGGTCACCTTGGTGCGGCTAAATCTTAGCGACAACGAGCTTAGCGAACTAAGTGCCGGAGTGGAGCTGTGGCAACGTTTGGAGTCATTGAATTTGTCGCGAAATCAACTGGTTACCCTGCCCGCTGCTCTCTGCAAACTGCCCAAGCTGCGGCGATTGTTGGTGAACGACAATAAGCTTAATTTCGAGGGCATTCCTTCGGGCATTGGGAAACTAGGTGCTTTGGAGGTCTTCTCGGCGGCGAACAACCTGCTGGAAATGGTGCCCGAGGGACTCTGCCGATGCGGTGCTCTCAAGCAGCTCAATCTAAGCTGTAATCGGTTGATCACCCTGCCCGATGCTATTCACCTTCTCGAGGGTCTGGATCAGTTGGATTTGCGCAACAATCCGGACCTAGTGATGCCGCCCAAGCCAAGTGAAGCGAGTAAAGCCACCAGCCTGGAGTTCTACAACATAGATTTTAGTCTTCAAACCCAGCTGAGGTTAGCTGGGGCTTCAGTGCCGCCTTCAATGCCAGCATCGTCGACGCCTAAGGACTCGACGGCAAGAAAGATCCGCTTAAGGCGTGGTCCTCGCAGCGAAGGTGATCAGGATGCGGCCAAGGTGCTGAAGGGCATGAAGGACGTGGCCAAGGACAAGGACAACGAGGCCGGTGCCCTGCCCGATGACGGAAAACCAGAGTCGCTGAAACCAAAGCGGTGGGACGAGTCGCTGGAAAAGCCGCAACTGGACTACTCCAAGTTCTTCGAGAAGGACGATGGCCAGCTGCCGGGCTTGACCATTTGGGAGATAGAGAACTTCTTGCCCAACAAAATCGAAGAGGTGGTGCATGGCAAATTCTACGAGGGCGACTGCTATATCGTTCTCAAGACCAAGTTCGATGACCTCGGCCTACTCGACTGGGAGATATACTTTTGGATTGGGAACGAGGCCACGCTGGACAAACGAGCTTGCGCTGCCATTCATGCAGTCAACCTGCGCAACTTTTTGGGCGCCCGATGTCGTACGGTTCGCGAGGAACAGGGCGATGAGTCCGAGGAGTTTCTGGCCCTCTTCGAAACGGAAGTCATCTACATCGAGGGCGGTCGCACGGCCACCGGATTCTATACCATTGAGGAGATGATACATATCACCAGATTGTATTTAGTGCATGCCTATGGTGCCACAATTCATCTGGAGCCTGTGGCTCCGGCCGTTACCTCCCTGGATCCCCGGCACGCCTTCGTCCTGGATTTGGGCACACACATATACATTTGGCTGGGCGAGCGATCGAAGAACACGCTGAACTCCAAGGCCAGATTGATGGCGGAGAAGATTAGTAAAACGGAGCGAAAGAACAAGTGCGAGATCCAATTGGAACGGCAGGGAGAAGAGAGCCCGGAGTTCTGGCAGGGACTGGACATGACGCCAGAGGAAGGCGCCGCCGCAGAGCCACCAAAGGAGCACGTTCCAGAGGACTTTCAGCCGGTGCAGCCACGCCTTTACCAGGTGCAACTGGGCATGGGATATCTGGAGCTGCCGCAAGTGGAGTTACCTGAACAGAAACTTTGCCACACCCTGCTGAACAGCAAGCATGTCTACATACTCGACTGCTATACGGATCTATTCGTTTGGTTTGGCAAGAAGTCGACTCGGTTGGTGCGAGCAGCCGCTGTTAAGTTGAGTCGAGAGCTCTTCAACATGATGGATCGGCCGGATTATGCGCTGGTGATGCGTGTGCCCGAGGGCAATGAAATGCAGATCTTCCGCACCAAGTTCGCCGGCTGGGATGAGGTGATGGCCGTGGACTTCACACGGACAGCGAAGTCGGTGGCCAAGACGGGGGCAAATCTCACCCAGTGGGCCAGGCAGCAGGAGACCCGCACGGACCTGGCCGCTCTTTTCATGCCCCGTCAGTCGGCGATGCCGTTGGCAGAGGCAGAGCAGTTGGAGGAGGAGTGGAACTACGATCTGGAGATGATGGAGGCCTTTGTACTGGAGAACAAAAAGTTTGTCCGGCTGCCGGAGGAGGAATTGGGACGCTTTTACACCGGTGAATGTTACGTCTTTCTCTGCCGCTATTGCATACCCATCGAGGAGCCTGAGAATGGCCCAGAAGATGGTGCTAACCCGCTTGCAGACGACAGTAAATCCAGCGCCAACAATCAGCCTGAAGACGAGATCCAGTGCGTCGTTTACTTCTGGCAGGGACGCAATGCCGGCAACATGGGTTGGCTCACGTTCACCTTTACACTGCAAAAGAAATTCAAGGCGATGTTCGGCGAGGAACTGGAGGTGGTGCGAATCTTCCAGCAGCAGGAGAACCTTAAGTTCATGTCGCACTTTAAGCGGAAGTTCATCATTCACTCCGGCAAGCGAAAGGACAAGGCGCTCACGGCGAAGGGCAAGGCGCCAGTCGAGTTCTTCCACCTGCGATCGAATGGCGGTGCACTGACCACGCGCCTTATACAAATCAATCCGGATGCAGTGCATCTGAACTCAGCCTTCTGGTGAGTAACGTAACTTCACCTTATCACTTTATCGTCAACATCGTGCTTAATGCTTTCTTGTCTTATCATTGTTTGAAAATCCTTGAAGATTATGAGATATGTCAAAGTCTTACTGCTAAAAGATAAATCTAAATTTGTTTTGTAGTCTTTTGAACAAGTAAAATCTTTTGAATTATATAATTACATAAATATCTATTTAGCTATATACTTCATGTGCCATTTGAAACGGAGGACGAATCGCAATCGGGGATTGTATATGTGTGGATAGGTAGCAAGTCCTGCAACGAGGAGGCTAAACTGGTCCAGGAAATTGCCGAACAGATGTTCAACTCGCCCTGGGTGAGCCTGCAGGTGGGTTTTAAACTTATACAATTTGATTACTTTTACATTACCGTTTAAATTACCGCTCACGTTTTCACAGATTCTCAACGAGGGCGACGAGCCGGAGAACTTCTTCTGGGTGGCGCTGGGCGGCCGCAAGCCTTACGACACGGACGCAGAGTATATGGACTATACGCGGCTATTCCGTTGCTCCAACGAGCGCGGCTACTACACGGTGGCCGAGAAGTGCGCCGACTTCTGCCAGGACGATTTGGCCGACGACGACATCATGATTCTGGACAACGGCGAGCACGTCTTCCTGTGGATGGGGCCGCGTTGCAGCGAGGTGGAGGTGAAGCTGGCCTACAAGTCCGCCCAGGTGTACATTCAGCACATGCGGATCAAGCAGCCGGAGAGGCCGAGGAAGCTCTTCCTCACGATGAAAAACAAGGAGTCGCGCCGGTTTACCAAGTGCTTCCACGGCTGGAGCGCCTTCAAGGTGTATTTATAATTTTAGGCAACTAAAGGAGCATCGTCGAGGGGTTCCTTTTCAAATTTGCACAATTTATGCACAGCCCTCAGGGTGTTAATTTAGTTTTTTTTTTGTTTTTTAAATCAAAAAGACCGCCTTTAAGGTGTACGTTTAACTTTTATAACTCGCAGAAGCACCTTTAGGGCGTTAATTTATTTTTATAAATGAAGTGATCGTCTTTAGGGTGTGTGTTAAATTTTACAAAAAGCTTAAAAACGCTTTCAGGGTGTGCATTTAATTGTAGGAAATTTAGGAAGCGCCTTTTAGATGTTTATTTAGTCTTATAAAATGCATAGAAGCACCTTAGAGGTGTTAACTTTATTTTAACAAGTTAGAGGAGCCCCGCGAGGTGTTAAATTATGTTAAAGAATTAAAGTAGACATCAGGTGGGTGGCTCGCGGGGAAGGGGTTTGGACAGCTGCCGTGACAGAGCAGCTGCCCACAACACATGACAAAGCTGAATCGTATCAAAAACGAAACAAAAACGAACGGAAACAACAAAAACAAAATAACCATCAGATCGTAACAAGAACATGTTTGTACTTTTATAAAATGTATTTAATTGTTTTGTATAATTAATTTAAATTTTTTTATTAGCTCACTTGCTCCCGCCCTTAACTAATTAGCTAACAACTCCAACAACGCCAAGTATTCGCCCACTCTTTACGAGAAAACCTAATGAATATATATAATGCAAATATATATATATATATATATACATACCTACAAATACGCAATATTTATATACGCTGAGCTGAAAGGATTACTCCTTGTGCTAGTCCTTTTAAAATGTTAACCTACTTAAAGCTAGCCTGTAATAAAATCGAAAGAAAACCTAAAACTAATTGTACAAATGCCACGTATTTATTTTATTTTTATTAATCCCCTGAATAAACATTTAGAAAAATTGCAGTTTGTATGTGTTTCCGGTTAAAAGATTTAATGGTCTTCTATTCCACTCTGTCTCATTTTTATTTTATTTATAAAAAAAAAATATTTAAACTTTTAAACCAATTTTAAAACAGTAACTTTTTAAAAAGCGTGCGCCTCAAAATTTCCATTATTGGGCTAAAAAGTTATTTTATTTTAAAAATCGAAAAAAGTAAATAAACTAATAAAGCAGTTTGTTAAAAAAATAAAGCTATAAACTTTTAGACGTATGTCGCTTAAAAATCGGATATAATTTCAAAAATGTATGGGTGCTTATTGATCACTTTTCTGCCCGTTTTCGAAATTTTTCATAGGGGAAATATAAAAATTCCGAAAAATTAAAAAAAAAAAAAACCAATAATGTTATAATGCAGAACGTAGAGAATTAAACAATAAACTTTTAGAGGTATGCCATTCCAAAATCGGGAGTGCTAAATGTTGGTTACTTTTCTGGAAGCCCGTTTTTTTTTTAAATTTTTGACAGGTTTTAGGTTATAAAAATGGCGAAAAATCGACACAATAATTAAAAATTAACTTATGATGCAGTTCGTTAGGGAATTAAACTACAAACGAGGTATGCCACTTCAAATATAAATTAAAAAAGTTATGGGAGTGCTGGATTTTGGTCACTTTTCTGCAAACCTGTTTTCGAATTTTTTTATAAGGGGTAGGTTATAAAAATGGCGAAAAATCTACCAACGAACCAATAAATAATTAACAAATGATGTAGTTTTATAAAGTATCAGTCTACAATCTTTTGAAGGGATATGAATAACATTTGGATTTCAACTAATGAAGTTATGGACCTCGATGTTACCATAATCCGAGTTTCGTACCAATGTTAGACTAGGTGGGTGAAAATATTCCTACGGTGATGCCAACTTGTAGGAAGCTGGATTTTTTAGGGATTACTGGTGGGTCGCAAGCATCTGGGGGAAAGCCATTCAACTGTCTTGCAACACTGGCATCTCGAATCGCGAAAACTACTTAATCAATTGTTTTAAAATAAAGCTTAACCAGAATGCCCGATGCCGAACAATTACCCGAGGGCTGGGAAAAGCGCACCAGCCGCTCCACAGGTGCGGATCGATCATATATATTGAGTGTTATATAGCGGCAAGAGCCCAAATATATACCGGCATGCTAAAATCCTTTATCTATGATTGAATTTGTTTTTTTGACAGGATTGAGCTATTACCTAAATGTGCACACCAAGGAATCGCAGTGGGATCAGCCCACGGAGCCGGCGAAGCGGACCGGCGGTGGTGGATCCTCTGCGGCCGGAGGAGATGGCGCCGACGAGGTGCATTGTCTGCATTTGCTGGTGAAGCACAAGGGTAGCCGGCGTCCGAGTTCGTGGCGTGAGGCGAACATCACCCGCACGAAGGAGGAAGCCCAGCTGCTCCTCGAGGTCTATCGCAACAAAATTGTCCAGCAGGAGTCAACCTTCGACGAGCTGGCCCGCTCCTATTCCGACTGCAGTTCCGCCAAAAGAGGCGGGGATCTCGGAAAGTTTGGCAGAGGTAGGAACGCAGGTATCCCGCAGGGGGTACAACTTTTATCAGCCCAAATATTAGCTTAATTGTGTTCTTTGAAATATGTGTAAGATTTGCAAGCGATATCTCCTTTTAACCGACTTTTTCGGTTGGATTTGTAATTTAGTGACGACTTCTAGTTTGTAAAAAGATTCCAAATACAAACTTTCTTAATCTTCATCACAGGTCAGATGCAGCCGTCGTTCGAGGAAGCAGCCTTTAAGTTGAGCGTTGGCCAGCTATCTGGCATCGTCGATAGTGATTCCGGCTTGCACATTATCCTGCGCAAGTCCTAAGACTTCTCGACCACCTAACCCGCACTCAACTTACTCACGTCAACTGAATAAAACGGATTTTACAGCCATTTCAATATAGAATTATGTATTTTAAAATGTTAGGTTTTGTCTAAGCTAAAAAGGGGTTTTCATTTGCCAATGTTTAGTTTGTTGGCCAGCAATTTGGCCCCGGGCGTCTTCTGGCCCACGAGCGTTTGGCTGAGGCTCTTCTCCGCCACGATGGCCTTTTTACAAGTGTCCAGCAGCGCAGGACTCTCCTCCACCAGCTTCACCAGAACGAAACAGGCACGGTTTACGCTCAGCCAGACTTTCAGCTGCAAGAATCGATCATAGTAACAATTAAAACCATGAAGAATCGGTTTAACTCGTAAAAAAATCTTACAAACTAATTAATTAACTTTTATCAATGTCAATAAATTTGTAAAACACATTACCCCCATTTATAATAATAGCAATGTTATCATATCCTTAAAAATTAAAAAAAATTACTTCATCTTAAGTTGGTTTTTAAACATGTCTAGTTTCAACACTTACCACATCGGTGGACAAGTTTTGCAAAAGCTGTTGGCTGAAAGGAGTGCCCTCACGTTTTCCATCGTTTTTAAGGATTTTCTTTAGCACAATGTGCATGCCGGCCTCCTCTATTCCACTAACCAATGGAGCCGCCGGCTCCTCCACTTTCGCCTTTGCTTTTTTGGGCTCCTTTTTGGCTTTCTTCAGCTTGGGTTCGGCATCATCTTCATCCGCCCCTTTCTCTTCCTTCTCGCCATCTTCCGCACTCGCATCCTCTTCGTCATCATCATCCTCTTCGTCGCTGCTGCTGTCGGCATTAAGCAGTTTCTTGCGCTGTTTAGTGGCCTCGGCTATGATTGCCTCCACATCGTTGTGGGGCTTCTTTTTATCCTGTGGCAGCGGACCGGCGGCATCGGCTGAAATGCGCCACTCTGGTTGTGCAATCACTTTCGCGAGGGCTGTAGTTGCCTTCTCATATGACTCGCCTTGAACTAAAGAACAGAAAAGACATGGCCATAAGCATATTTCCTTTACACAAAACCCTTTTTAATTTGGGCACTCACTGTGATTAAGAACGTCGGCGGTGACCAGACCAATGTGGCTGTTTGACAGCCAAAAGTCCGCTTCCTCAGCGATGGCTTGTGCAATGGGCGCCTCGATCTGCTCGAAGATTTCCTTACGGCGCAGCTCCTTTTCCTTTTTGCCAAATGCCAGGCCCTCGTCCACAACCCGAATGAATTCCGGATGGAAGCAGGTGGTATCCCCCGGAGCGACCAACCATTGGATTACTCGTCGACCATATTGGTTCCCCACCAGCGTCTTCAGATCGCCGTGCAAATTGTCATAAATGGCCTTCTTGGTAGCCTTCGTGTCGTCCAAGGAGTTGAGCAGCGAAATGAGGAACACGTGGCCGTGTTCGTGAGTCGCAATTTTTAGGAGATGCTCCTTTATATTCTTGATTATTGCCTAAAGGGTTGTGAAATGAGACACTGAAGTACTTTTCCACTTGGCTTATATTAATCACTTACTCTGCGATTCTTGGGCGTTGCCTTGTAGAAGCATATAGTACCTGCCTCGCTGCCCTCCTTGGTGGACAGCATGTGGGGAACTAGGGCCGAGAATGTGCTCACAGTTTCTTCCAGTTTCTCCTGGTCGTCTTCGCAGGCGCGCAGGTATTCCAGCATTACGGCGTGAACCAGCGAACTGTCCACAAGCTGCTTATTGGCCACATGATCCAAATTTGCTTTCACCGAGCCCAAGATTGATGCCTTCATGTTCGTAGCCTCCTTGTAGGTGTCGCTAAGCGACTTAACATTGACATCCTTGGCCTTGCGATAGAGATCACCGTAGAACTCCTGGCGCATGTGAATGCGCTGTTGGGGCGTGGCACTCTGATACATCGTGTCCAGCAATCCACTAGCGATGCTGTGTCCGGCCAAACGGACAATATGCCCGTACAGGCTGTCCACCAGCTTCGATTTGGTGGCCGGGGCACCGTATTTGAGCATTCGCTGGACGCAGAATTGCGCGTACTTCGACTGACACATTTCCACGATGAAAGGCAGTAGTTGCTCGGAGATCTCGGCCCGCAGCGCCGGCGAGGCGTACTTCAGCATGCATTGGAGAACGCGGGCGGTATCGTGGGCCTTCACAACTTTTGAAATAGTGTCTCCGACGTTGAGCACCTTGTATATTTGTTCGACCAGTTTGTCCTTGTTCTCTGTTCGGCGGCTAAAATATAAAAAAAAATAAATTAATATTCAAATTATGAGAAAGCAGTAAATAAGCAGCTCGAAAAATCCCAAAAGTATATACATTTATCCTAGGGCATGCTCACCATCGCAGCTTCTCGTAAATCTGCTTGGCCTCCTTGGTGATCTCGTAGGTGTCTTTGGAGCTCTTGCGCTTCAGTTTGAGGTCCTTTTTCTCCTGCTTGAACTTGTTCCAGTCCTGTTTCTCGCCCTCCGCAGGCGTCTGTGTTTGTGGCTTTCCACGGAACTTGTTGCCCTCTGCAAACTTGTTGCCGCCAAACTTCTTGCCACCATTCGCTCCCGATTTGTCGAATTTCTTGTAACCGCTGGCTCCGGGCTTGTCGAACTTTTTGGCACCTCCGGCGCCAGGTTTGTCAAACTGTTTCCCCGGTCCTCCGGCGGACTTGTTAAACTTCCCTGCGCCTTCCGCTCCTTTGGGCTTAAATTTCTGTCCATTGGCCGGCTTGCCCGGTGACTTGTTGGCCTTAAGGGGCGTGATACTTTTGGACACCTTGCCAGTTCCCTTTGGGTCCGAACTGACCATGCTTTCTGCGTTTAATTTTTTACTAAGTCTAGTTGAAAACAAGTGCAGTTAAATTAAAACTACACGTGCTGCCGATTAGAGGTGGAAGAACCGACGATAAATAAAGCCTCTTTCATTTCTAGTTGTTGCTGCAGAGTGGACAGCGCGTTAAAATACTATCGGTCTATCAAAAATACTAAATAGAGTGTTTTAGGTTGTGGTACAATAAACTTAAAAACAAATAAACGCTTCGTAAGTATTTATAAAGAAGGCATTTTTGAATGGCGAATATATTATATATATGTATATTTATTCATTTATATTATAATTTTATTCTTATTCATCAAATTGCATTGCTTAGCATAATTTCAAACAATCTGTGATTTTAACTTTGACAGTCGCTATCGATGCTTTAAATGAAACTAACGGGCCTATCATTCAGAACTCATCTCTAATAGTGTACAGTTGTCGAAAAACTCGGAATTTGTTTACTTGTAGTACGCGGCAAAAACACAAAAAAGGGGGAGCAATTAGCAATAAGAAAATCCTAACCAGAAAACAACTCAGCCGTAGCATGGCGAAGTCGGTAAAAAAGAAGGTGGACAAGCAGGCCCGTAAGAAGCCGCAAGAATCGGCGGGTACCAAACGCAGAAACGGGGCTGCCGATGAAAAGGATGTGGACGACATCCCATCAACTTCACTCCACAATGCTGAACCTTCCAAGAAGCCGTTGCCAAAACGCAAATCCCGCACAGTCGTTCGTTCGGGATCATCTTCTGATAGCGATGATGCGCTCCTCAATGCATCGAAAAAGCGCAAGCTGGACAAGCGCAACCTGTCACCACCGAGCACTTCTGCGGCCGCCAAAAATGGCAAGAAGCCCGTCTCCTCGGATTCCGAGGACGATGTCACACTGGACAAGAGTCGCCGCAAAACAAAGAACGATTTACAAAATGAGGTAGGCACTAACGACGACGTCCCTAAAACATCACATCCCAACTCTGGGAAAAAGCCGTTGCCAAAACGCAAATCCCGCACAGCCGTTCGTTCGGGATCATCATCGGATAGCGATGATACATTCCTTAGCACATCCAAAAAAAGCAAGCGCAACTCGCTATCGAGTACTTTGGCGGTTGCAAGAAATGGCAAGAAGCCCGTCTCCTCGGATTCTGAAGACGATGACACACTGGACAAGAGCCGCCGTAAACAAAAGAAAGATTTGGAGAACGAGGTGAGCCCTATTTCTTCTGATTTTTTTTATATGGTTTATTAATTCAAGATCTAAGCATGCCATAACTGCAAGATTGTCACGAAATTCAATGCACTTAGCACAGACGAGTCGGAAAAGCAGTTTAGAGGAAAACCATACCCCAATTGTTCCAAGAGGAATACATTCTATCGGTTTCAAAACTCGTTTTTGCAAGTTGCAACAAATAATTAATATCGAATGTTTTTTTCTACTACTTCTTAAAAAGCATTCACAACAATTACCTATGTATACTTAATTTTCTTTTAATCCTTTGTTTAGAAACCGGAGGCCCAGTCCAAAGCCACGACCTCGAAAGTCGTAAAAAAGGCTCAAGCCAAAGGACGAAGTAAGAATTCCACTGGTAATGCAGAAGATCCTGACCAGGAATGGGAAGTTGACCGGATCCTCGACTTTGTGGATGACGAGGATGGTGCCCGGTACAAGATCAGATGGAAGGGCTTTGGCCCCAAAGCCGACAGTTGGGAGCCGGCGGCAAATATGTCCTGTGACGCCAAGGTAGCAGCGTTTAAGCGAAATTTGGTTGCGCAAGAGAACGTGGACATGAAGGAGCTTCGTGAATCGCCGAACAAGACCAGGCGTCTTGTTAACGAGTGCTTTCCCAGAATAAATACACAGAACTCACGCTCCTCAAAGCGCTCTGCCGCCAAGAAACGGTGCGTTTAATATCTCTATATACAAAATAAGGTCAGAATAATGGCACAGCTATAAAGAAATGTCGTCCTAATATTTAGCTCCTCTTCTATTTTCTATTATTTGAGTTTGTTGAATTTGCCAAGTAAAGATACAATTTACTTTTATCCCCATAAACATATGTTTATCAGTTTAATTATAAGCCGACATTTAGTTTGCTCTTTAATTTTGTAATTGAGCAGCTCCTCAATTATCTGCTGTGTCTCATTTCTTCTTTATTTTGTTTGTATTCTGTAACCCAACTCCCACTCTATTGTTTACATACTGATTTATGCTGATAACACACTTTGCTTTCAGCGTCTTTTACGGCGAGGACTGAGGAAAGGCAGTGGCTCCTCCCCCTCAAAATGGACATCGGCGGAGGCGCCAATAAAATTAAGTGTTTTTTTCGGTTTTTTTTTTAAAACACATACTCCCTGGCGGTGTAAGAAGGTCGAATTGGAAAAGGATATATTCTAAAATCAAGAATCAAATGATTATCTGAACTTACAGATAACACAGGCGAAGTCCTCACAAGAAACACAGCAGACACAATCCAATTGAAGCACACTCAACACATTGAAAAAAATTCTGATTTAAACCATATGTAGCACCTTATCAGGCGCTTGATTGCAGCACGGTATATATGTAGTATTATATCTATGTAGATGTGCTGCATTCATCCAGTGTAGTAAGTAAGCAATTTAAACCTAGACTCAGACACACAACTTGTACACCTAAGCGGAGATTTAACAATTTTAAACCTAAGTTTAGACCTCTGTGTAAGAGAAGTCCAACGCAAGTATTTGCCACAGCTGCAAATAGCCTCCGAACTATTCTTCCCAATCGTCTCCACTTAATATAAGTACGCAATAGTGTACATAACGTAATTACAAATGAATTGGCACGGTACGCCCAAGCCTACAATACGTATAATTAATAAATGTAAAAAAAAAGTCAAAAACAACTAAATTATAAACATATGGTGTTACTCCGGGAATAATCTGTATCTAGTATCATTTCCTTTTATTGTGGTTACTTTACAATTCTTAAAAAAAAAAACAAAAAAATCTTACTACAGTTGAAAGTATCCCAAACGCATAGCCTCTTATGTGTAGCATACTTTCCGAAAAAAAAATTGAAAAATCACTTATTAACGACTTCTAAGAGTTGCTTAACATTTATTTGACTTTCGTTCGACAATCAGTGATAGGTGCTGTTTCTTAGCCAACCCCCTAGAGGCCGGGTTGCAGTCCGAATCCGGGACCTTTGGGCTCCTCGCTCAGGGAAGTCGGCTCGCCTTTCGGCTCGCTGGCAAAGCGACCGTTGCGTGGACCAGGGGGCGAGATTTTATCCGCCTTCAGGTCGTTTAAGATGTCCTGCATGTCCTTGGCCGTCAGATCCTCCTGTAAGGGAAAATGAAATTTAATAAGGCATTCAGTTATCTAATGGCTTACCAAAATTTAAAAAATATAAAAGTGTCTAAAAGAAAAAGCTTTAGCAATAAATGCCTAGACCTTTGTTAGATTCACATCAAATATACTTCTTAAATTCATTCATTTTCATGATTTGCTTACATAGTAATCGTCATTGATTGCCACCATGGGCGCATTTACGCAGGCGCCCAGGCACTCGACCTCCGAGATGGTGAATTTCTTGTCCTTGGTGGTTTCACCGACGCCGATGCACAGCTGCTTCTTGCAGGTCTCCAGGATGTCATCGGATCCGCGCAACCAGCAGGGCGTGGTGGTGCACACCTGGATGTGGTACTTGCCGGTTGGCTTGCGCATGAACATCGTATAGAAGGTGGCCACCTCGTAGACGCGCATATTGGGCAGCTGGAGGATCTCGGCCACCTTGTGCATGGCGGAGATCGGTAGCCAGCCGTATTGACGCTGAGCAAGATCGAGCAGCGGGATCATGGCGCCGCGCTTGTGGCCCTCCGGATAGATGCTTAAGATTGCCTCCACGCGCTTCTTATTCTCCGGCGTAAACTCGAACGGGATGCTTGGATTATCCTCCGGCGTGTCGCGGTGCACGAAAAGATTGTCGCTGGCGCGGGCACTGCTAGTGGCAATCGCCCGGATGTTGGCACGCTGTAAATTGATCACATATCCTTAATGTTATTGTTTTTCTGGTATTAAATTATATAACCAAGCGGGTCTGAGTAGTAGCCCCCCTGCATTCCTGGCTATATTTCTGTACATTTTCGTCGTTTTACTACTCACCACAGCGGCCAGCGTTTTGGAGGCACAGTTCGTCAGCATTTTGGCTTTTCCAAAATAATGAAAATGCTGAAAATTTGCTATTATGTCAAGTTGCCTGCTGACAGTATTTTAACAAGCACCGCTCACAGCTGATTTCGGAGGAGCGTTTTTCAACACTTTTTTAGATATGGGTATCTTTAAGAACTAGAATAAATTTGGTACATATACTCTGGTACCATTTTCATAAACTCTTAAGATTCTAAGTTCAAGGAATTTTTCCACATTTCCGATTAAAACGTAACATTATTAACCGATATATATTGCTGTTATTACGATGTGGTTTCCAACACTGGCGCCCTTGTCAAAAGGCTTGCCTATCAGAAGACGCGCAAACTTGAAAATTTATCGACAACCGAAGCTAGTTTGAAGAATGGAGAAATATCCTCGAGCTCGTGAATTTCTTGGGCAATTATGCCAAAACGACCAAGTAATGTCTCAGTTCGAAGAGGAGATCAAGAAGAAAAATGAAATGAGCGTTGAAGAAAATGGTGAGAGGGTAAAATAACATTTTTGACAGACACCAACATGTTTTTGCTTGTCAAAGAGATTCGCCCGAAGATGGTGGAGCTTATGTTGGATCTACATCTAGCCAAACTGGGTGCCGCCAACATGGAGACGAATGGGGAGACGCTTGATAAGGCGTCTACCTTGATGCAGAACGTTCACTTTCAGGCAATGCGAATCGAGCAACAGCTCGACGAGGTTGGTTTGCCGGACATAGCTACCAACGCGATGAAGCTGAAACAGGAGCAAGCTCAAGCCAAGTTGGCACTCCTTTTGGAGCAGAGTGCCGAGGAGGAGCAGCAGCAGGCAACTCTTGAATCCCGTAATATCGGTAAGCACTTTCGGAAAAACACATTACCCCTTAAAGCACAAAAACAGGTAAGATTTGTTTACTTTTATTTCCTAGAATTTATATAACTTTTCATGGTGATATTTATATGTATATAGATGTACATTTTAAATACTTATTTGTAACCATTTGAAATAAAGAACTTGATTCTTTTACTTCCCATTAAAATTATTATATTTCTAGTGAAGGAATTTCGCCTTGAGATGGATTCCAAAAAAGAGGAGGAAAATAAGCTTATCGACGTTAAAGAGGAACTAGACCAGGTAAATCAAGAACTGGAATCTACGAGCAAAGAAATGACGGATAATCTTAACAAGAAGATAGTGGCTGTAATACAGCTTAGCAAGCGTATCACTAATTTGCATACACAAGTGGGTACTTACGATATATCCATAAGAATTTTGGTATAATTAAATAAGTTTTTACACTTATTCACTTGCACGGTTTTTGTTATTAAATTTGTATTTTTTCAGTTGAAACAAAATGCTATCGATGGATATGTTAAACAGCGTTTGAATAAAAATGAAGTCTTTGCCACCAAACCAACGATGCTCGCTAGTCAACCACCACCGACACAGCTTCTAGTAAATTTATCTAACGGCAGCGGGACATCACTTTATTCCGCTAAAGACTTTTTCAGTAACATTATACTGACAAAAGCCAAACAGGATAAGAACAAAAGCAAGGACAGCAAAGATGAAACGGACCCACCGCTTCGATCGATTTTAGTTCAACGCAAAAGAAAGAATTCCGATCCCTTTCCTATTTCCTCGACAAAGCGTGTTCGATTTGGGTCGGAGGAGGTCCGAGTTATAGATTTTGAATCCGAAGAAGAGAGTTATTTTTCTGATTCCGAAATGCTGAAGATGCCAGAAGAAGAATCGGAGGAATCAGAAGATTTAAAAGAGCAGGAATCAGAAGAAGAATCCGTCGGAGATTCGGAACAAGAAGTTGATGAGGATTCGAACGTAGAATTTGAGACAGATAGCGAGGAGCAGGGAACAGAGTTCAATGGTTTAGAAGATGAACCAAAAGTGGAGAATGTTCTAGAAATCTCGGATCCTGAACAAGAAAGATCTCAACACAAATTAGTATCAGGGTCACCTAAATCGGGATCAGACGGTAATGATTCAAATGGAGAAACATCAGAAGAGGACAAGGCAAAAGAGGACAAAATTGGAGAAAAAGTCGCAGCTGAACTAGAGCAGCAAAAAACGACTGCGATTGAGACGCAGCAGCTGGCTTCCAAACGCGAAAGACCAGAAATAATCAGCGTGGATATTATATCTAATATCCAAAATATGACCTTGACAGACATCGATAACATACCTAGCACCTCAAAGGGCGTTCGCAATCACTATACATCTAGTCAGTTAAATAAATATGTCACATTTGTGGATGATAACAAAGCCCCAGAAATCAAAAAACTCAAATTGGACGACGAGATGTTCCCAACGACCCAACCTCTGCCTGATCTCTTTAAGAAACCATCGACGGCTTGGAAGGAAAATGAGGACGAATCTCTGCAATTTGAGAACAACGACTCGCAATCTCTACAATTTGCGTCTCCCGAATGCGAAATGAGTGATGATTATCTGCTTAACTTCAGCGATAATGATAATGATGATGGGTCTGCTGGCGGCCCGTACATTCTATAATAGCCATGAAAAGCAAAAGACTTAAAACCTTTTTATCATCAAACAAATACTCTATAAAATACTTCATTAAAAGGTTTTTTAAATTAAACTTTAGTTGGCAATCTTGAAAAACAAAATGAAACCAAAGGAAACTGAAGGTGCTTACATTGTGAAAACGGCTTAAAGCTTAATCATTTGAAATAAATAAATTTGTAAACAATCTGTTTATGTTATTACAATTTGGGAGCAGTAAATGTTTAATCATAAGTACTTGATAACCTTTAACTAGTTCAACATTCGAGTTTAATATGTTTCGCGGCCATATTTAAATTAAATGGTTCAAATCTTTGCTAAAAATACGTTTTGGCATATTGAGGGTATGCTTAGGTAGTTTAAATCAAAAATCCTTTGGTAAATTTTACCACTGCGGTCACATTACCACGAGTTTATTTTATAGTTTGTTTTCTAAAATAAGGAAATTGTTCCTAATGGCTCGGAAACGAAAAATTCCCGTGCGGAAACACCACGGTATTCGCGATCCCCTGAAGCAGCAGGAACAGAAAGAGAAGAAGTATTAAAATCAGTCATAAAAACACCAAAATAACTTAATACTTCAACTCCACATTTTCAGACTCTCCAAAGTAACCAACAATCCGCCCGTTAAAAAAGATGAGCAGCAGGTGTCCTTCAAGTTCCGGCAATTTAAGCAGCTAGCCGATGCCACCAAAACGGGCAAAAAGGTGAAATTGGGACAAATTGGACGAGAGGATAAACCCAAATCCATTACAGGAGTAAAAGCAAGTGGTTCAGCCAAGGAAACGCGAAACATCAAACAGTTTACCAACGAAACGGACGAGGATTATCTACGCCGGGTCAACCGTATAACTAGTGCGTCCGTTCGGGAGGCCCACTATGAGGCAAAGTATGGAGTAAATGTCATAAGGAATCCCAAAACCGGAGAGATTACGGTGCAAAAGAGGCCCAAAAACGAGATTGATGAGCTACTAAAACAAAAACAAAAGGAACGCCGTTTGGCGGGCCAGAAAGGTCGAAAAAAGGTTCACACCCCGCAAAAACCAACCATGGATGCCAAAACCAGCAGGGAATTGGTTAAGAGAGCCTACAGAGAGGCCCAACAAGAAGTCGACACCGAAAATAAGCAAAATGCCGGGCCAACGGAGTACAAGCACGATGTTGTCGCCTTTGGGGAGATTGTCCATGCCCCACCATCCCTCAAAATCCTTCCGCGCAAGGCGGCCAAAAACGAGACAGTGCCCCGACCAGGACGCAAAACCAATCTTTTATTGAAATCCATGCTAGATCCAGCCGAAACTCAGTCAAATGAGGAGACACAGGATTCAATAAGTCGGGCAAAAGTGGCTGGTAAATCCAAAACAGCCTTTAAACCACCCACCAAGGCGCAGATGAAGGGTAAGCGAAAGGACCTGCCCTTGGCAACAAGGTCCATGCTTGAATCGGAGCGCAGCAAAATGGTTCTTCTGTACCGTCAACTCAAGAACAAGACGACTGCGGATGCTTAGTGTAACATAGACTACATTTTTACCTTGAATGGACTTTTTTTTTATTAAAGCTAATCAATTATATAACATAAATATATCTGTTACCTGCTGAAATATTAAGTGACTTTACTCTTGTATGCAATGTTTAATTAATTGATAAGATTTTTATAAAGTCAGGTTCTTTAACACGTAAATTGTAAAACAAGTAGTTTTATTTATGGCCTCCACAGTTTATACCAAAAATGAGTATAAATGCTTGGTCATATAATCAAAGATTGTTATAAATTTTAAATGCATTTAAATTAATCATTGGTATATATGTATTTATAATTAAATAAATTGAATATGAACAGATTAGCGCGAAATCTGTAAGTGTGACCATGCGGCAGAAAACTTGACATACATTTCTAGTATATTTAAGACATATTCGCGTACAAGGTGTACAGCGTTTATCAACGCCGCGCTCTCGGTCACACTAGTTTCGACGGAAATTTATGAAATTAATTTAATTTAGTTTAATTAATATTTCACCGAGAGCGCGCGTCTCAAAACACGGCCAAAGTTAACAATAATCAAGAAAAAACAAGAAACAAAAGAACACCGTGAACTTAGCAGCCAACGCAAAAGCTCTTGTGTCAACACATTGTTAGCCAACTTCTTTTTTTTTATATTGATTAAATTCATTGTGAGTACACACACATGCTCACGTACGTACAGACACGCGGATAGAGAGGAAAAACAACAAATTCTGGCTGGCGCGCAAATACACACACATAAAACATAACAATTGATAAATTGCCTAGACGCCAAATGAGTCAATCGTGAAACAAATCGGTTTTAGAAGGTATAATATATAAGCGGTTTAAAAAGACTGCTTGCATCGTTTAAACCGCAATGTCTTGCTGCACTGGTGTAGGTGAGTAGTTGTCGTTTTTGCTTATCAGCTGGTCGCAAGAACAGTGATTAACTCGTAGTTAGTGTGCTGGCCTCTAAGCAAAAGAACGTTTCTTAACCCGTAATTAGTTGAAGATTAAACTGATCGTTTGCACTTTTTTCTTAACGTTTTTAGAGATGTCTGCTAAGGACTTAACGCTTCGTAATGGCAGGAGTAGACTACCGCAGGAGCAGCTGCAGGATCAGGTGGCGGCACCATTGTTGCCACAAGTGCCGCAGGCGGAGCAACAGGACCTGAATCCACAACAGGCTACGCCGCAAAAACAGGCCATGTCCGCCGACGAAAGGAAGGCAACCAAAAAATCGTTGGTCATTGTGGCTGGCATCTTTGTGGCCAGTTTGCTTACCATGTGCTATGTGTACGCCATATTTCCCGAACTCAATGCGTAAGTTGATCTGACAGGGGTAAAGCTCTACGGATGATGTGTCTCCAGCGCATTCGTGCACCTGTAAGGTGTTAAGTGGGCACATGTTGTAGGTGTGTGTGTGTGCGAGTCTCGCTTGATTTGCGAGCAGAGATGACGGTTGAAGATCCGCTAAAAATAGCTAGATTACATTTAACTACGGTTAGCAATACCCATTTAGGTAAATAGAGTCCCAAATTGTTTTACAACTTGTTAGTTTATATTTTCTACCTGCTAGACGTTAGGTTTCAGTACATATATATTTTGACAGCTGTTAGATATAACTTATAACAGGCCAATTAAGACAGGTAAATAATATTTTACAATTTGAAATCCAACCTGTGGGATAAGAACAAGTTACACCAAATAATATAAAAACCCCACTACGTTTCGAATTAACCCGATTCATCGGAATTCATATTAATCAGCAATCATTTCGTTTAAAGTTCAAGATGTCTGTTTGTATATTCACAGACATTAAGTTTCCCCACTTTTTCGGATTTAAATTTGCATGGGATCAGCAAGTCATCGCATAATCTCTTAGTTTTTTGTTTATCAAATTTATTTGGCAAACGCAAGGGGTTGAGCACGATCGTCGGGGAGCACTCTAATCATTTTTAAGTTCCTTGCAAGACTGATTAATTTGTCGTCCGTAATTCATAAAGTGAAATTTTTCTTATCTGTTTGTCTATTATTGTACATGTCATTTACTGTTTCGCCATATAGTGATTATATAGCAGTTCAATAGTTACCAAATAATGATATCATTTACGACATTATAAAAGAACTTATCTTTCTATTGGGTGTTTGCTTCCATTTAAGAGGCGTTTCTGGGTGTAAAGATACGGGATTGTTTACAAAGCGCAAAAAATAAATACAATAACTTCGCACTAAGAAATAACTTAAATTTTGGCTGGAAAACGTCTGAATTTCCAGTACTATCAGGCGAGAGGGTTTATTCGCACTCGCACACATTCGCGCCAAAGTCACGCCACCATTTAATAGACATATATACAATACGTATTACATATGCTTACAACTCGTTTGGCTCTTGTTCTTCTCTATTTCCGCAGGTCGGAAAAACAACATTTGAAAATTCCGCGTGATATCCAAGATGCTAAAATGCTGGCGAAGGTCCTCGATCGGTACAAGGACATGTACTACTTTGAAGTGATGTTCGGCGTTGTGGTCGCCTACGTATTGTATCCTTTTACAAAAATCATATACCAAATCAAAAGCCAAGATCAAAATTGAAGGAGCATACAAATAGGTATAAAAAATCGGCAACCGATTAGATAAGCGTTAAAGAGTTCTTTCGTCAAGCGGTGACCTTGACCCGATTACCAAAAAAGAAGGCCTCGCACTACAAACTATTCATGGTCGCGCGTACAAACGTGCGTTTTTTATATGCCTTAATTAATTCACGATCACCGATCGGCGCGCATTGTGTGCATATAAATTAGGTGGGCAGCACACGGAAGTGGAAGCGAGATGGCCATAGGAAGCAACAGAACAGCTGATGTTGTTGTCCTGTTCGCTCTCGCACACGCACTTGCACTTTCTCAGGTGAACCTTATTCATTTCGGTTTTCCAACATAATCGAGAGTTATAAAATGACAACTAAATAAGTAAATATATAAAAGAAATTATTCACATTATTTGGAAGAACCAACCAAAACTGGAAAGAATAGGTCCACGTTGCGTATGAGTGATAATATAACTCATACGCACTGTTTCCAAATTTTAGTTGCAACCCAAACATCCATTTTGAATGCAGGTCCACCCCAGTTGATGTAGCATGAGCTACCTCAAAAAACGACTTTGAACACTCGTGTGACGCATTCTTTGTGTTTCTTGCTGTTTTTGTCGCAAAAATCAGCTGAGCTGGACACAACTTTTTTGTTGTCGTCAGTATTTTGATTTGTGTTTTGCATTTAGTGCTCTTTTTTGTTCAATTGCGTTTTTAGACCCCAGCCAAGGCAAAACAAGTAAAGCCAAAGCACATACGTAACTTTATGGCGATGCGCCAAAGTGTGAGTGAATACTTTTTATTGTCCCCGTGCAATTGTTATCGGACATTTGTAGAATACGTGTTCCGATGCCAGATGATACGATTCTGCGGGATTCTTCGGGGCCACTCGTGGCGATGGGGGTGTCATTGTCAACTCTTGATGTCTATAAATACCCGCCCACAGACTTTTGAGCACGCGTTCAACTAGTCGTACGATGTGTCTTTAATCCCATTTACAGTGATCCTTCTTAGAAAGAAGAAAATTTAAAAAGCAATAAACTGTAAAGAGAAATAATTTGACTAATTGAACAACAGCAAGAGCCGAAAACTGAAGTGTTTTGAATATCAAGCAGTTATCGAAATATTTTTTAAATATGTATAAACTTTTAGTGGGTTACGAGCTGAAGCATACCCTTAATTTAGTGACTACTGTATACAAAAATGCAGCTATTATTCAGATCGAACCGCCTGCGACTGGTTGCCTTGACCCAATTGATATCCATTTACAGCCTGCAAACATTCGCCATTCCCGGATCGCTGTTTTTGTCGATTCTGCTTGGATTCCTGTACAAGTTCCCTATTGCCCTTTTCCTCATCTGTTTTTGCTCGGCGCTGGGCGCCACCCTGTGCTATACACTTTCCAATCTGGTTGGACGTCGCCTGATTCGGCACTTCTGGCCAAAGAAGACCAGTGAATGGTCAAAGCACGTGGAGGAATACCGGGACAGCCTCTTTAACTATATGCTATTCCTGCGGATGACGCCCATCCTGCCAAACTGGTTCATCAATTTGGCATCACCGGTGATTGGAGTGCCGCTGCACATCTTTGCGTTGGGCACCTTTTGTGGCGTGGCACCGCCCTCCGTGATTGCCATTCAGGCGGGTAAGACGCTTCAGAAGATGACGAGCTCGAGCGAGGCCTTCTCCTGGACCTCGATGGGTGTCCTGATGATCTGCGCCTGTGCATCTTTGCTGCCCGGCCTCCTTAAGAACAAGTTCAAGCACAAGAAGGAGGCGTAAGCTGGTTCGATATACACACACATATATATATATGCTATTCCCCAAACTGAAACCAAAACAAACCCGAAAAAATCATTAATTGTAATTTATATGTACCACAGCCAAAACAAGAGGTAAACACACAAACCGCGTTTTTTCAAAGTATTTCAACGCGGCTAAAAAAAAAGCTATATGAAAAGCCCGCCCCAGAGAAATTTTCGGAATGCCACATCGGGTCTCGATCCATATATTTAAGTCTACAAAAAAATCTGTGTTTATCCTATTATTAATTGATTAATTTTTTTAAACGTATTCTTACCACAACAACTTTTGCATCATATATTTCCATCAATTGTTTTTAAGTTAGTGAATTTTTTGTTTAGTGCTATTGCAGTATTTACTAGAAAAGTTCTCCTATAAGTAAAACAAATTAGCAGAAATCCATTGAATATTATGCAATGTATGTAGGTTAAAACTGAAAAAAAGAATGTATGTGTCTGCAAGTAAATGTTAAAAAAAGACAAATTTAACAGCTTGGTTTCTTATTTCGGTGGAAAAGGGTTTCAAAAATAAAACGAAATGGTTTTAATTTGTAAATGTAGTTTTAAATATGTACGAATTTTACATTTTATTTTCTTTAAACATCTTTTATACACGACATACAATTATAGCTTTTTGTGAAAGCTTTCGCAGCATTTGGCGCGGGTTTCAAAATCTGGCTTTCAGAACTTTTTCATTTATTGCCATCAAAACTTTGGCTCCCATGTGGACTACCCTTTGGTGGGGTTTCAATTAGCCTTTTGTTATGGTTCGGTACTATTTTTTTGGCCGCCTTAATTTTGTTATTCTTAGCCTAATGTGGTTTTGGCCGCAATTTGATTTGTGTGCTCAATTAGTTGTGCAAACTTTTTAAAAGGATTAACTGCCGAAATCCCATTTAGCGAAAATATTTTTAATTCACTCTGGCAGTGATTTTCCGTTGGCCCACGAGAGTTGTTTGAAAACTGTCTGCCAGTTTGTGGTTATTTAAGTGTTGAAAAGGTCTCCAGACAGACGCTACAGGTGTCCCCAAACGCAAACCTCCAAAGAAAAGAGAACCATAGAAATTGTGCTGAGCGATACTAACACGCACATCATGGCCAAACATGTCTCTTATCTGCTGTTGTCCTGCTCTTCGTAATTGATTTACGACGCGTGTAGTGAAACATAAAGACGCGTGTTGGCGACTATGGTTACAGTGAGGATTGGCAAAAGGATTTTTTGTTATTACATGACAATTTTCAAATTATAAAAATAGGGGTAAAAAACATTCATATTTTGTAGGTAACATATTTTTACAAACCCAAGTATGCCCCCTATTTTGCCCTTATCGATTGAGTACTGTACGATCCAGCTTTAGTAGAATTTGTATTAACGACATCATAATTTCGGCTGCCATTCGTTACATTAGTACAAAGGCGTATGCCAACTTTTGGTAATTGCCTAAAAAATATGCACATTTTTATTGGTCTTAAGTAGTACAGATATGAGCCGATATGGGTGCTCCGAGTGTTTTTGTCTGTTTCAGGCAACAAATTCTGATCACTTAATGCGCCCAGACAAATGGGAGTGGCAGGGGAGGGAAAGCCAGCCAAAGGATATCGTAATCGTTTGTAAATTATGCACTTCATTAGTTGGCAGGCACGGGCTTTGTCGATCGATTTACATAGCTTACGTTATAGCGTCTCACGCAAATTGACGAAAATTAAATTTTGAATTTGTATTAAGGCCATTTACAAGCTGCAATCGACTTCTTTAATATAGGGCTTTAGGAACTTAAAAAAATATATTTAAAACAAAAAACAAAACAAACATTTGAGTCAATTTTAAAAAATTTTCGGGTTAACTTTTAAATTAGTAAATGTTTTTTTTTTTCCTTAGGTCCCCTATAATGTTTTTAATTAAACGCAAATGACAGATATGCATGTTTTTACACATTCCCTTTATGGCACATTTCTATGCTGGTTGCCTCTATTTTTAGCCGAAAGGTTAATTATTTTCGCTTTAATTACGTCTGCCCAAATGTGTTTTTTTCGGCAATAGAAAAGGCCAAATTGTAAATCTGGAGTGTGTTTTCTGTGCTCGGGTAGGCGACTCTAATCCACTTTGTCGCCGAGTCTGCCAATTATGCAAATCAATCAAGGCTTAGGTAGGGGCGGACACACTTGTCCGCTTCACTAGCGAACGTGCCCTTTGCAATTTTTGCACTGACAGTGCACAGTGGGACCTATTTTGAAGAAAATTATATACTTAAAATCCATAAAGTGGTTCCCAATACATTCCACAATAAAGAAACTTATACAAGAAATACATTATAAATCAAGTGACTACCTGACTTATGGCCGCAGGAAAATAAATCTTTTTGTTTGAACCAAACTGAATAATAATTCATATATTACTCTTGTTAATTCTTAACCCTGATTTTTTCGGTTGAACTAGGATTACATAATTTGGTCCTTCGAGTCGAATAAATGTGGTTAGCTGCAGTTAAAGTCGAAGCCATAAAGCAAATAACCTGACCCAGTGTCGTGGAACCCAAGTGTCTGAAGAGCCTGGAGCTTGAAAGCGAATCTGCAGTTGGCCGATGATTGAGGCCCTGGCTTGGCACTGATGTGAAGTGAATTGGCTGACGTGACCGGGGCTAACAAAGACTCACAGTTTGCCAGTCGTGTATTATTTTTTAATTGCCGGGTCCTGGACCCATGGACCTGCACAATGTTTTGTTTCAAAGAAAATGAGACATTCCATTGTCCATCGAGTGCTTATCAATGAGGCCAACCAAAGCACTCGCACATGCGTTCGTTTTAATCCAAATTCAATTTCTTTTTTTCTATTTCTTATCAGAACTCTGGCTTCGGCAGCCGGGCCAATCGCAATCCCAGCGTCAATCCCCAATTCCCAATCGCCTTGATGGCCCTGTCTGTGCCCAGCAGACCAAGGGATCCGAAATCTGAACACGCGCCCCGGGAAAACCTGTCCATTCATCTACGCATCCTTGCGGTGGGCCAGCTCCTGCCTGCTTAATTAAATAAGATTGAAATGCTTCAATTATTCAGTAGAACAATAGAAGGGATAGCTAGGCAAAAAGCTGCGTTACGCAACTACAATGTCTTCCATACAATTCGAAAAATATAACCACTCATAAATAAAATACTTCTTTTAATGATATATATCAAAAATATTTAAGAGAAAATCAGAAAAAACAAACGATTTTTCAGATTTGAAGAGACCTTGACTTATGTTTTTGTACCTCACTGTTCTGCCTTCTTAAGCCATCTGTATTGCATCTTTTCGACCGAGTGAACAAATCGAAAGCCGTGCAGAAACAAAGGACTTCCCAAGACGCCCGAGCAGGCCAACTAATTGTAAAGTCAAACAGAAACTGTTAACCAAATGGTTTTCGGAAAAGTCTCCCCAAGGATGTGGGGCCCTTTTGCAGCGTCTCTAATTCGAATTCTAATTCGAGTCCTGACACATTTGCGCCGTCGATTCGCTCTTTTCACTGCAGCCACGACGACGGCCATGGGTATTAAAAAAGTTTTCAATTTCGTTGACGTCCTTGAGAGTTTTCTTGGTAGACATATTTTCCTCTTGTTGCTAGATTTTGAATACCTCTTGCATAAATAAAACATACTGAGTATATTATTTTATCTGCATGCAAACATCTTCCTTAATTTTAACCTAATATTTTCAATTAAACCAACTAGTAAATAAATTCTTAACACATTGCGTATACGTAATTTTCTTAGAGTAATTGAAATTGAACTAAGGAAACATTGTATTTATATTTTGTGCCTTTGTCTCGGGGCTTATTAAACAGATTGACTTAATTAATATTAAGTCTGCAAAAGTTATAAGAAGCCGCAGGATATCCCTTCAGTCTGAAGTCGTCGTTTCGGTTTCTTTTTTATTTGTCTTCTGGCGAAAAGGGACGCGGACTGGCGACGGCCACTCCATGGGCACCACATAATTTTAACTTTTGTAGGCCAACATAAATACTTGATTAAGTAAATCCACATTTGTAGACAGACTTGAGACGAGTGGGTCGCACAAAAAAAAAAAACAAAATTGGGAAAAAGGAGAAAAGAGAAAGCGGTGGAGCCTTTGACCCAGCGATCGTATGTTGTGGCCCCGGACTTCTTTTATGTTGCTCGATTTGCATAATTCACCAAACAGAAAAGGCGCGTGGCTCGGCTCCAAAATTACACCCAATTTCGTGAGTAATCAGGTTAAACGGAGGACCTTTGCTTAAAAGTTAACCTGTCAATGGCGACTCTCGAAATTCCACAAATCTTCGATAAATCCCCAACCAGATAAATAGTACTAAATATACAAAAATAAATAAAGGAGCGCCAGCCATACAAAGCAAACAATCAACTTGAGTATCTCCCAAAATCGCCGGGCAAATAATGAAGCAATGAAATGGCCAATTTAAATCAATGCGCCTCTTAGCCCAGACAACCAGAAAAAAAGAACGCCAAAAAATGAAGAAGCAAAGAAAAAAAAGCGGGGCAAAAAACTGAATGGCTGAAATGCCTTTCGGCCAGCTCGTCTCGTTGTTTTTATTATTTCTGCTACTGTGCTGACCCATCATCGTATTCTACATGCCATTAAATGTTGCAGATTTTAGACGGATTTCAGTCTGATTCATTTTAGAGCCGCAATCAATCGAATGGAATCACCATTTTTGATGGCGAGTGCTTTACGGCAGCGTCTACGCCAGTAAAATTGAGAATCATAATTTATTTTACATGTATGAATTTATTAACAATGTGTGCCATTCAGTTATTTATGCTGTTCGACTGCAACGACCATTTGAATTTAGTTATAAAGTTGGATAAGCAAACGCTTTAGTAAAATTACAAATAAAAAAAAAGTCTTTAACAATTCCATTTAAATTCATCACTATTCAAGATGACTTTCTTTTTTGATCTTCGTGATAATGGGGCATTCTAATTTCATATCAATGGTTCTATTTGCTGTAAGCACACACACATACATCTTTGGAGCTTATGTGTGTGTGTGTTTGTGTGTGTGGTGAGAACAATGATAAATATTGATTTCGTAGCATCGATGACAACAACAATTACAGTGGAAGCAGATTGGCAGCCGCTTTGCTTTGACATATGGCTCGTCCTTCATACCGCCCTTCGTCCTTCGTCCTTCATCCATCAGCTGGGTCCTCCAGCGTCTAGACATTTCCACATAAAAGCCTCGGCTCGGAGTCCCGCTTTTTCACTTTCCACCGTGTCTGACACATTTTTTTGTAATTATGCGACAGATTCGTTTTTCAGTAGGTTCTGTTCTCTTCTGTTCTTTTCCCTTCCCTTCCCTTCCTTTCCTTTTTTTTTGTGTTTTTCCTCCTTTTTTTGTGTTGTGTTGTTGCTATGCCTGCTCCTTTCTCCCGCGTGGATCCTTTGTGCTCCTTTTTAATGGCAACGCTTTGCGTGCCTAATTTGAAGCGCACACGGCGCACATTAATGAGGAGAGC